TGCAGGAGGTTATGGGAGGTAAGGGTTGTATGTCACGACCTTTCCAAAGCTCTTTGACAAGGACGCCCGTGACGCAAGGGCAGTGTGGCGAGTTGGCAAACGCCGCGATTGTGGCCGGTACCAAATTGACAAGAAAAAAATCATTACCGAAATAAATCACATACAATTTATTGTTGCTGACATTAAATTGACGAACGTCCAATTTCGCCACGCTACGTGTATAGTATAGTAAGTATTTGAAGCGAGAATATTTCGAATCAGTGCTGATACTTCAAGCAATAACAAGGAATTTAAGAAACCTTAGTAAAAAAAGGATTCATAATCTCCTATAGTAAAACGCGCTTCTTAAGCATGTGAAGTCCTGGGTTCAAATCTCGAGGATATGATAAACTTTCGAGCAGAAATCACTCAGTGGAAAAGGACACAGAAATGGTTCTATCATGAACCCCAGGGAAAAACGCAATTCATCTATCACCTAAATAGAAACTTACTTTACTTCTAATAAGATATAATCGAGGAGTGGACTCTACTCTAGTATAACCATTTAATTTCAATCTCACTAAGCTACCAAACTCCTAGGAAAATATGGAAATCGGACCCTCTGTTTTTATTGAGAGATTAGAATGTTCAACGAATGCAGTCATTCCCCAGATTCGTTCCAAACTGACAGGGATTATTATTAGGATATGGCCTTCACTTGGAAGATGGAATCCGTGGACTTATATCAATTGGACATTCAAAGACCTGATGCTGATAATTTCCGTAGCTTAATATTGTTGTGGATGTACAGGACACGCAAACTTGTGACCCCCTTAGAACCAAAACGCGCGATAAGGTTGCGTTCAAAAATAATCCTTATTCGGAGTGGCACTATCGCTCACGAATAAATACCTATGGCCGTGTATCAGTGGCGAGTGTAAACGTGACCTTATTTAAAGCTCAATGACGCAGAACGCGCAACTAAGTTACTAGATTTACTCAGTACATAAGTAGCGTAATATTAAATAACCGAGTTTCATTGTTGTGTGAATAATGTGTATGTTTCTTTACGAATGCGGCACCTACGGAACCTTCGGCTAACTCGACGCAGTTATCGTTATGTAGGAACATATCAGTTTTTGGTTTTTCAGAAAGTAAGTCCTAATAAGTATCAGGAAAGAACTACAGATTGTTCTCGCGACATACAGACTAGTTGATATCCAATTTAACACAAAGTTTTCTTTCTCTTACGATGACAATTGAGAAAGATTAAATATAATTTTGATATGTATAACTATTTTCGAAAAATCTACGCAAGACAACTTCTCTTTATTTAAAAATTGGATGTAATTCATATCATAGAAAACATTTGGATTTTGAAGGAGAAATATATCATACGTAAATAAGTAATACTTTGTGTAAACACATATACCTATGTATAGTTAAGACAGTTCATGTACCTTAACAACACTTTAATCGAATATCCAAACGTACACTAATATTCGACATATGACTATTATCTATATTACGCCGGCCATTAACTAATTAAAAATCAATTAAATGTCCATTCGCTCTATCATTACAATAAAGTAAACACAGGGTACAATCTTGTGTCTGTAACAGTAACCTTAAGGGGAGAGGTCACCTGTGGCTGGCAGAACAACTTTCTCCTAGAAATATACCTAGCTCGAATAATAAAAAATGCTTTCTCACTTTGATATAATTTTCTACTTATGTCAGTGTAATTCTTCAACAAGACAAGGGCATCACTTAATAAGAATATTATGTATAAGCTTATGTTACAGAATTACGTTAGATACGACTTGGAAAGAATAACTGGCGACCCCTCCGTGGGGAATGAGGGCAAAGATACATGTGTCGTTTGTCTTTTAATTTTATCAGGCAAGTATGTACTTTGTGTTTTAAGGAAACAAATTATCGTTTCTCCAAGATTCGAACTCAAAGCAATGCAACGAAAAGACAGACATATTTCAAGTGAATGCTTATTTAAAGTGATTATTTTTGGTTTACAAGTGACAATAAAATTTCTAATCAACTAGTACGCTAGACGAATCGAGACATGTAGCCACCAAACGCGAACACGTACCAGAGCCATATACAGAGACAAACATACGTACATACACAACATACCAATAGCATCGCAAAAGGTGCGACGATTAAAAATTCACTTCAGATTATCCAAGTCGGTCAAGCGTGAGTCGCAAGTTTATATCGAAATTATACCATTTAAGCACTGCATACATACACGACATAATTGCAATGCGAAAAGAAATACATGCACCTACATCTACAACAACCATATTTGTTTTTGTATGTGTCAGCATTAGTTAACTTTTATTTATTGGACAACAAAAACGATAGCTATCCCTAAATTGCATCGTTTTTCCAATCGGGCATCGAATTTACTAATCTTACTTACTTGCTAATCTCATGAGTTATTCTATGGATCTCCCCATTCCTCAACTAACCCAAGGAAACCTTGAGCAAAGCCTTTTAATAGCAAAATTAAGCATTAAATCCATTAATAAATAGGAAAACATACATTAATAACAGTAGTATTAATGAAGGAAAAATTTGCGCTATGGATAACAGCTACTGTGGACTAATCACAAGGGCTTCTTACTGTGTCCCTAATAGATAATAATAATTACAAAATTACCGAATAACTCATCCTCTCAAGTGAAAATGTTGCGTTTGAAAAATTGCAAACAACGCGATTTCCTCAATAAATTAACGCAATAATTATCGATATGATAACTAATAAATCCCATTTGAGCCATGGGGTGAATGACCCCGTACGCTGATAAATTATTGTCATTGCATTTGTGCGGCGTACGCGCAAAACTCACTTCCTACAATTCAATACTAATATATATTTATTATCAGTGTCACTTAGTAATGTCATACTAGCCTAACATCCCCCGCTGAGGTGAAATTGGGTGCAATGATTAGCTTTATGTGGAATGATCACCTAATTTCCTTAGATCTCAAAAGATTTTATTTTTGTCTAGAGAAACTTAAATCATCACCCTCATGTAGTAATTATTGTCACCGTAAGTCATAAACTAATTGTAAATGTTTTAAGGGATATCATTGTTTTATTGTGAAAGTTAGGAAATTAATTGGAGAATAATGTCACTGCAACTTTTATAATAAATTTGTTATTAGGCTGTTGTATATACATTTTATAATATTTCCAACTATTTTTAGTGTATATATATTATATTTGTCAGCCCACAACACCAGATAGAGTTTAAAGCAAGATAGAGTATGGTGCTATACTTAATTTTATTTTACTTATTGCTATTTAGACCAATCTGGATTAGAGATAGAGTAATGTATTCTTTCTTTTTTAAGTTAAAAAATAATAAAAATAAATTGATTTAGTATGTAATCATAAGGAATTTAATAATACTTGAAGCACTAGCAATAATGAGCTTACACATTTGTTTTAGTTTCCACATTTATCATAGAATCCAGTTATAAATTAATGAGGCAGATGATTTGTGGATCAATAAAAAGAGACTACCTTTATCAATATCCTCCTCTACAAAAACATGAATTATAAAACTGCATGGCAACTAGATTAAAGTAATAAAAAAAAATGATTTCTAGTTCCCCCCTGTAACATGTAAAAGTGAAGTGATGCAATAACACATCTTATTTTTAATCACTGAATCAATATCAAAGAGAAATCTCTATCAATATTGGTCATTCCCTTGGGCTCAAACCCAAGGGTTATTTAATCAGCTTGTTTTCTGGTTAGAATCAAATGCTAATTTACAAACCAAGCAAGCTGAGTCACCTTTAAGATTAAGTGAGTTAATTGCATTAAGGATAAGAAGGAATAATAGAAATCTACTATTGTGTACTTCCCAGCTATCAGCATAGCTAGCTAATTCAGAATGCATGAGGTTTAATAGTTTATAAAAACTCATGGATTCTGAATTTGCCATTGTGAAAAATTGTACAATTTTAATAGAAACTTTAACAGATTCTTGTAAATATACATTTGAGCATTGTCACAGTTTGTTCTTATACAAAGGTCTATCAGAAAACCGTTTTGAGTAAATATGTGGCCTAAATTGTATTTATATTTTTAAGGCAAGCATACTCAATACAATTGTATTTATGAATATGTAAGTAAAAATATCTGAAATTTGATGGCCTACAAAATTTATTTTTATTTGGTACGCTGTACACCTAAAGTAATTCATAGATGTTTATAATTGTTTCCACAAGTAACAATGTAATATATAGATTGTAGTGTACTTAGGGAGATAATTCAGTTCCATTTTGACAATGTTTTAACTTAAAAATTTCAAGAAAGTAATGCAGTCTTAAGAACTAAACAACATTTGATAACAATTTGACAAAATAATTGATACAATTTAGATTTCCACTATATGTTTTTTTAATACTATAGAAAGTTAATAAAACTCTAGAAATTGCCATATTGGGAAAGTAAGATGTTAAGAGATGACATTGATTGTTCACTGAGTACACAGGAACTACAGAGAACGCTCAATAACAGTTATCTTTAGATCCACAATGATTATCAGGCGCTTAAGTGTTGTACATATACACCAATGTACATAAATATAGGTTATGTGCCTTGTTGCTATGCAAGTAATCTTTCACCTACGTTCCTATAGTGGTTGCAGAAATGAACTAGTTTTGATCTTAAAATTACCCATCTACTCAATTTAACACATTAGTAGAAGCGTAAAAAAAGAGAGTCACAAAATATACCAGAGCTCAGTGTTAAGAACATATAACCTCAAACGAAATTGTTACTATTGCGACTTATAGGTTATACTTGCGTCCTTCAGCAAAAAACGATAGCAGGCCGAAGCTCGCTCTATGAAATCCAGTTAGGATAGAAAAAGTGGACTCACCTCTTGTCACAAACACACACACACACTCACACATAGAAAAGGATACAAGCTAAGTCTAAATTGAAGCCGTCTTTCACATATCGTTTTCGTCGCTTGCTGACAATGTTTTTGAGTGGGTTCGTCATTTTAATATTGGAAATGGAGTTTGCCATGGCTCTGAAAAAGCTGCGCCGAGGGTGGTGCTCACCCGCCGCACCCTTAGCGCGCCTCGAGCCCGGCACCCAGCGCTTCTCGGGTGCCTTCCGCTCGCGGCGACGGCAGCTCAGACAAACACCCATAAACCCTCCGCTGGCATGGGGCCGGCGGAGCGCGAGCGAACACTGCGTCCGCCGGATCAGCTCGCGCCCGCCATGCCTCCGCTCTGCACTCTCCACAGCCGGGAGCTACTCGACCAGCCGTTTGCCGTCACCCGTCCAGCTCCGAACTCGACACAAGCACGCACTCCACTCTGCACCGAGGCCACAAGAACGCACCACTCACACATATAGCATACTCTAAGACCGCCACTGTATGCACGTACTGTCGCTACGCGAGCGATACCTGGAATTATCTCGCACGAATGGCGTCCATTCTGCGATCGCGCTAGATCCTAGACCTCGACCGACGAGAAACAGTTGCACAAGAAAGAAAGATGGTTATGAATTGATGGCTGAAAGTCTAAACGCCCTCTCGTTCGCTCTCTAAACGTTTACGATAGTTGGACAGGGATAAAACACAACCTTAATTTCTAGCACTGGCTAGCTAGCTCTCTTTGTTCATCAATCGTTTCAATATTGTCCACGAGATGTCCTACTGGTAGCACGCCTTTTACAGGATTTATAAATCTCCAAAAGCTTTTTATTTATATTAATTCTCTTTTATGTTATGGTTATATTCTTTCAATTAATTATGGCATTAAAAATGCGTATTTATTATTATTTTATATTCTCTCATAGTAGTAAAATATTCTTAGTATTTACTTTATGTTACTATAGATGGCAGTAATAACATTTATGGTATTGATGCGTTCACACCGTCAAATTATTATTTAGACTTTTAACTTTTTTTTAAATATAAAAAGCATTTGTCAATCCCTCTTAGGTTTCTGTCTATTATATAACTTTCCAGAATCATAAATTTAAAGATATTATTTATTTAATTGGAATACTGCATTACTTAAATGCATCAAACTTCCTTTTCCACAGATCTTCATTGTCAGACAAAACAATAAAATATATTACGTTATTATGTCCACATGCTTAACACAATCTATATAATAATTATTTTCCCTTTTAAGGCAGAAGAGCTTACAATATATTTTAATAGTTTTTATTTTTTAAATTTCAGTTAAAATGTATTTACAAATATACAAGCCTATATGGTATATAGTAACTAGTAAGCTGTTTAGTCACTACAAAGTATGCAAATCCACGCGTCTTTAAATTAGATTTGAGTGAGAATAGGAATCGTCTACGATAGTTGGTTGGCAACAAGCTGTCTACTAAAGCCTGATTAGATTACCGTGATAATAGATTCAAAACACACATTACATAAGGCAAATACTATTTGCTAAGTGGGTGCGGTAATCATAGTGCAAACAAACGGTGTATGATTTACAATACTTCAGTGTTACCATTTTGCATTGAAATAAATTTGTACTTACTGAATATCTTATTGCAACTGACCTTGAAATTATTATAATGTTGCAAATGCTAGCTTGCACTTCGTTACATTTGGAAAGAAAAGAATTAAATCATTATAATCCTATCTTTCAACTAAAGTATTGAAGAAGTAAATTACATTATTGATATCATAGGTTGATATTCCAGTTGAAATTGTTCATGAGTTACAATTTACAACAAAACACATCTTGTTTTATAAAATATATTCAACAGTATAGTACAGGTACAGGCATAGGATGTTACAATGATGCATTATTGATTTTATTAGAGAGTAAAATTCCTTAGAAAAAAAGGAAACTAAATGTATGTTGTCAATTAATTGTTGCGTTTTATTTCTCTGATTTTATAACATACAAATTATATCATCTCTTTTATATAGGTTATCGTAAAACACAAGCAATAAGATATGCAATGTATATATTTACAGTCTCAATTTATTTTCATAAGCAGTCAAAATCTTTTCAACCTGAGTGCTCCTCTCCCTCAGTGTTGCCATTTCATCGTCATTTAATACATTACTTTTCTTGCCAGCGTTTTTTATTAAAAAGTGTTGTATGAATAGTCGTAAACTTTCTCTGAACATGTGCAGTTTCGGCGGCTTCGCTATTCGATGGAATACTTCTAGAGTGGCTTGTAAATCTTCATTCATGATAATTGCTAGGAGAATTTGTCGCATGAAACGCACAGTTTGTTTGTTTAAGTCTGAGAATTGAATAATCTGAAAAAAGACGTACTTTTTAAATACTTGCACCTTGAAAAAGATAACAAATTTTTATCTTAGGCGTTATTTTTAATCGTAATAATAGTTAAACTACATCTCCACATATGTAAAAAATATTCAAAGAAACAGACGTAATTTATAGTTTTTAATATACAACAGTTTTATTTTATGTACCCACCTTTAGTACGGAAAGTGGCAACCCCTTCTCCATTATAATGTGTATTAGAAACTGCGCCAGATTGCTCATACTTTGTTTCGATAGCGAGTCTAAATCCTTAATTTTATCCCACACAGAGTACTGGATGGACAACTGTTATAAAATAACATACACGTAATTATATAGTCCAGATACGAACTGAATATAATTTAATAAACCTCGTAAAAATCTGTACTCAAAGAAGTGCTGAGCAGCTGAGATAAAAATGTTTGTTAAAAAGGTGAGATTCCTGTTCTTAAAACGTACTATTAAATAAGACTCTCATATTTATTAAGTATAACTATTCAATAAATAATAAGTTTTAATAATTTGTAATAAGCCATGTACTTCAACCTCTTCATAAAGAAATCAAAGTTCTGTACTCAAAATAGTTTCACCTGGTATTTCCTATCAGTATCACACAATTTCTGCCCGAGAACAGCATAGTACGGGTTATAGGTCTTCTCTTGCAGGCAACAGGCCAATAGCACATGCACGATCTCACGCTCCTGTTGGCCTTTAAGACCTAGATGTTGTAGCTTCTCGAACGCGTCCATATAGTCCTGAAACAATTTGAGATCTTTAATATGTGAACATTAACACATAGATCTTCGAGTCCAAATTTATACTGAGATATAAATAAATAAATATTTCTCTTAATAACCACCATAGCAGCAGAACTAAGAAACAGTTTAACAGCATTAAGAATAGATAGTCTTAGATTAAAATCGGTTTTTTTTTTCAGATGGACAAAGCAAAAAAGGCTGTTCACATAAATAAGTTAATGGACATGATTCATATAAGGGACTCAGGCTCACTTAAACAAAAACCTACCTCAGCCGACATAATGACGCAAAATATACTGCGTCTAACATCTGTGTTCATTCTTTGCTCTCTTGCTAATTTGAGCAGCTTCTGGTCGTAAGCCGACGCTGTCTTGACTGGTTTTTCTTCCTGCGGCCGGTTACCCTCCCATGCTGAACCCACAACCCACCACTTGCCACGCTCGTGTGCTGAAAACGTGGAATATTAAATCTAAGAACAAATAAAACATTGATCAAGGTAGATTTTAATTTTGTGTTGCAAGAAATTAAAAAACCTAAATAAGCCTAAATATTTGGCACTGATAAACCCTGATATATTAAATATATAATATGAATAGTTATTTGTCTTATTATCTGACCGGATTTTAAGGGAAGACTGAGGCCCTATTACAGAACAAGAAGACCGAACACGCACAACAGGGGGAGATGTAAAATAATTATGATATAAAACAAACCTTTTAACAAATCGTCAAGCCTAATATTTAGCGGCGTCACGTAATTTCCTTTTCTTATAATTGCTTTACACATTTTCTTCAAGTGTTCAATATAAGTCGGATCGTAGTTTGGTATTTTTGTCAAATTATTGTTTTTTACAGCTAGCAACACCTCTAATAAAAACTTTATACGAGAACTGAAAAGAAAACACGGCTGGTAGATTATGATTTAATAAATAATATTTTAAACAAATTTTCAGATTAAATAATGTACTTAAAAAGATATGCAATACTTCTGAACTAAATTATATCGAACATTTGTAATTAACTTTTGTTAAAAAGTTTATTCAAAACTGCTGCCTTTCCAAAACAGTGTTAGGTAGCTTTAAAAGATGTTCTGAATTAAACATATGTTATTACAAACAATTAAAAATGGGTCAATTTATAAATCTTACCCACTACTAGCACATTCATTCATCTGAGCAATCCGTCCTTGAGTATCGTGTATAAAATTCTTCAGCGCCAGCGGTTCTTCCTTCCTCAACACGCCGCCAACACATCGTAGAGCTGTTAATACGCAGTCTATGTTCTTTTCGCTAAGATCTTCGACGAGTCGTGCTAAGATATCGTAGAGTAGAGTTGCATGGTAGACCTATAAACACATACATGAAAATAATTTTACTTTTGTGATACATGAAATTTGTTAAGGTCCTTCACAGTAAAGAGAATTGAAATCTACTATCGTGGACCCTCATTTTCATTTCATGGACCCCAAATTTTTGTTCTCTGATGTAGACCCCTTGCATGTTGCCATAGACCTCTAGGCCCTAGGGGTTGATATAGAACACTTTGGGAATCACTGATTTACTAACTTAACTACTTTGGTGGTTAAATATTTTAAACAGTGTATCGAGATTATCGTTTTATTATTTTATGTAACAGCTTTTCTAGATGTTTATATACAAGTGCTTACTTAGTATTTTCGTTAGATATTAAGTTATATAGATGTGATTTATATTACCTTAAAACTATACAAATGCGCCAAACAAGATACCAAATTATCCAATCTCTTGTCTTCAATTGGTTGGCTGTCTAACATCATTGAATCAAACTTTCTCGATAATTCTTCAAGAAAATGAGCCCCTACGTAAAAATGCAAAACGTTAAAAATTGTTAATAAAATAAAATTGAAAACAATATTTTTAAAAATTTAAAAGAAACATTTTTAGTTAGAATTTTTTTTAAGTGTCAAGCATTTTACTGTAATTGGCTTGATAACATAGGATAAGTTTGAGTATTTTTAAAAGATATGAAAATCAAGAAAAATCTAAAACAAATGAATGGAAAGGAACTACATAATTCACTCACCAATTTCAGAGCCAACATTAGCATGCAACACTGAAACCAAAGCTGCATGCTCTGCTACCATTCTATCTGGAGTGTTGGCAACACTGACGGTTGCTTCCAACCAAAGCTGAGTTAAGGCTGTATTTACTGAGTTACGGCTGTTACTTGAGTAAAGATTTTCAATAGATGTACTGGCCCAGTGCAGGTTTGTACCAGCCAATTTGTTTAAAACACCTGAAAATTAAAATGAAATATTGAGTAATACACAAAAAATATATTGGCAAATTGATTTTAATAAACTGTTGATAATATGGCATAAAATAGAAACTGTATACTTATATAAGAAAAAATTGCTGTAAAACAAATAAATATTGAAATGATAGATAATATAAAGGTGTGAATACATATATTTAACCAAAGGAAGTATGGATCTTTCTAATACATACTTTATACTTAGTAACTCAATAAGACTAGATACTACAAAAATAAATCTTACTTTTAATTTGTCTTTTCAGTTGCGCTATCTCTTTATCTGAAGCTGAATCCTTGTTTCGTAAATGTGGTGGTATGTAAACACCTTTTTCTACCTGAAAACAAAATTCAGATTTATGCTTCTAAAATAGTTCACAAGGACAATTTAAAGCTCTCATTTCCTCACCCTTATAACATTTCCTTCTTTATCTCTTTTTCTGCCATATATATCTTCCCAGACATCAGGCTTTTCTTTACCTTTGTCTTCATTTTCAACTATTTCATCACTGTCATCAGACAAATGAGATACTTCATCATCACTGAATACTTTACCTAAATCTTGTGCTGAAACAGTTTTTTCTTTTACTGGTCTAGTTTTATGATGTTGTTCTAAGGTTTCATTTTCATCTATTTCGTCGTCAGTTTGTTCATCACTTTCATTGAAATTGTCACCTTCCTCCATACCACTAAATTCTTGATCCGTAAGAGTTTCATTAGAATCTATATCATTTGCATCCTCAGAACCATTTGCTTTACTTACTTTTTCTTCAGTTTTTATTTTTTTACTAAAATAGTCTTCATCATCACTTTTGTCTGAATATTCATTACTATCTATATCTGAATCATTAATATTCTTTCTTTTCTTTGAAGGTTTATTATTTGCTATTTCTTTTCCAGTAACTGCAGCTAAATCTTCATCAAAATCTGAATCTTCTTCTACATCAGCTAAATGCTTCTCAGCAGCAACAATTTGCTCTGAAGTTGCTCTGTCACAGACTTCTAAAAGATCTTTACAGTGAGTTAAGGAAAGGGAATTTAAATAATTAAAATAAGAAAAGAGTGATTAGGTAGTTAAATTAAATAAATGTCTACTGGATAAAAAAAAAATGTAATTGTCTCTTTAGGCCAATAACTATTTATTGTTCTATTTAAAATTAGATAATAATATACAAAGCAATAAATAATTAGTAGCACCATTTAAACTACTGTTGGGTTGTATTTTTTTATATTTGAAAAGGATACAATCAAGTCCATCATCTGCAAAATAGTTGTTTTTATTCTTTGACTTGTTCAAGCCAAGTTGTTTCTCCAACTTCTTTATTACCTTGTCCTCGTCTTCATTGGCTTTTACCATAACTTTCCTCCTTTGTTCATTCATTTGAGATTTTAATTTTTCAGCTTCATTGATTTCTTTTTTACGTTCCTTGTTCAGTACTTCATGAATTGTTGGTTGTTGTTTTTGCTTCTTTTGCTAAAACATTAGTGCAAAGTATAACTTATATAACTTGTATAACATATGCAAGACTGTTGTGTTGTCTTAATTTCTTACTGTTTTCAAAGATAAAGTTTGTACTGAGCACAATACAACAATTGATAGTGGTGGCTTCAAGATAATATATTAATAACAAACACACCAACGTGCTTTTAGCTACCTTTACTTTGATATCAAGCGGTGTATCAGCAGGCCGTTTTACGAATTTTCCCGGGGTAAATGTTGGCTCGCTTTTCTTCTTCAAGTAGTGCTCTTTTCTGTGGACTTTCTTTAGTTGTCTTTTCTCTTTACGCAGAGCTTTTCGAGTGTTGACAGGCACCGAGCGGGGTTTGGTTTTCGATTTCTTCATTTTTCTTAAACACTTCTTATATAAAGGTTTATGTTTTGATTTTCATTAAAGGTTTATACTTATAACCTAAAATTAGAATGTAAATAACTTTCTATGTCAGTTTGACAGTATATCAAACAGTAAACACATGCTTTTCACATTCGACATTGACATATGAAATATGGACCAAAAGTACTACGGTCTTCCGTCCTTTGTGGTCTGTCTTAAATATGTCTATTGTCGAAAAATCCTCGAACGCGATACGATGAAATATTTGATTTTCAATTACAATTTAGTTGGGAAATTTAACAAAATTATAGTTTTGTAAAGACCAGTTTTGTTAACTCTTTGTGTCCATTATAAAGATATTCAAAAGGCATGATGGTGGAAGGTTCTGCATTTACGAGGAATGATGTGTTCCAAATGGCAATTCGTGTGGCTTTTGTGTCCGCGGTTACCTATTTCTCTATTAAATGGCTAGTTAATCAAATAGATCCCACATCCAAGAGTCGCAAGAAAGCCGAGGAAAGGGCACGAGAACAATTACGCAAGTACGTATTGACTTTCGTCTGCTATGTTAACTTAACTCTATTTTGAATCTAATTCAGGCTGAGAAATGTATCGTTAGCCTTAGACATTCAATGTAGACGTATTATTACTTCTTAAATACATCGCAACTCATTTTTTTTTCTATTGGTTGTAACCTAACCTACATAACCTACTACTAACTTTAATTTGTCAAGATACCTTTGCTATTTCTATAACACATTCTTTTGCCAAACATTCGTGTTTATTTTTGGCCTCACGTGCCACACTCATCATCCACTGCCTCTAAAATAACCTACCTGGTAATGTAAGCGATACATAGCAATTGACTAAATGACCACTACTAATTGTGAGTTATACCACTCATAAAGTCATTTTTAAGTTAAATAATATTAGATGGTGTTTTCTACAACCATTAAATGTAGTTATTGAAAGTTTATATACATTGTGTATGTGCAAAGGGTCTCTTGCAGAGCCGGACTTGGCAGCAAGCATGCGCTGGCATTGGACAAACTTACAGACCACGAGATGATTATTGCTTCACAGTTGGTTGTGCCAGACGAGATTAACGTAAGTATTAAATGAACTAGTGTAAAATTTGTTAAGTGTACCTTTAGTTGATTAGATATTTATTGATAAAGATGAGTAAATACTGATTGAAATCTTATTGGAAATATGCTCTTAATTTAAAATAGATTTATAAGCTTACATTCTTACTTTTCCGTTCTACAAGACTTACTTCAAAAGTAAATAATGCCTAAAGATATTACCTTGACAATTTCAATTGAAATTACTTACGTAGGTTAGTAAAGGAAAATGTATATTACGTAATAACAAAAGTTAATTGTCCATACCCAGCTAGATTTTCTTTCACTAATAGCCGTGTGGTTTTCAATTTTTGCTGTTATCGTTGTGATCTTGATTTTGGCTAATAGCTAGTAAATTTTCTGAACTGAAATATGCACATGGATAATTAATAACTTGCAGCATGTAAATAAAAATCAAGCGTTGGTCTTAGGAACTATTCTGGGAAAATGGGATGAACAACACAATTGTAGGTTGATAGTGCATGTTGCTTACCTCTTATATGGCACAGGTATTTCACTTTCCATAAAATTAACACCATTTTGGTGTGTTTTATTCTAACAATAAAAATTATTATGTACATATTTTTTAGAAATTTACCCTACCCATATATTATTTTTCAATAATTTACTACTTGTACATAACTTTCAGGTGAACTGGAAAGACATTGCTGGTTTGGACAACTTGATCCGGGAACTGCGAGAGACTGTGATCCTGCCAATTCAAAAACGAGAGCTGTTTGCTGACAGCCGGCTGACTCAGCCACCAAAAGGGGTGCTGTTACATGGTCCTCCAGGTAGATTCAAAATGAAAAACAATTTATTTATTTATTTAGCAAAAGGAAACAAACATACATTACATAAGTAGCTAAGAGATAACAATAAAAAAACAAAGGTTAAAATGCATGCAAATGTTATATACAATAAGAAAGAACAAAACGTCGATAAAATTTAATTTGTAAAGCATAGTATTAAGCCAATATTAACTATTTTTTACTACACCGTCTTACTTCAGGTAAAGATTCTACAAGTGTTTCTGTTTTTACCTTGTTTCAGGATGTGGAAAGACATTGATAGCAAAGGCAACTGCCAAGGAAGCAAATATGAGTTTCATCAACCTGGACGTATCACTCTTAACTGACAAATGGTATGGTGAAACACAGAAGTTAGCATCTGCTGTATTCAGTCTTGCTGTCAAGCTGCAGCCTTGCATTGTTTTTATAGGTGATGATTTTACTCACAAATTACCCTATTATCTATGAAATCATCAACTAGCTCCTAATGTCTATGTCCTTGGCTTAAAATTCAAGAAAAAAAAAATTATTAATCTCATTGGTCCTACCACCAATTAAAGAGCAAATATATAATTATGACAGATAAAATGCCCAATTAACTTAGGCGAAAATGAATCTAACTATTATTTGTGCATTGTGCTTTGCAGATTAACATTTTTAGAATATAAATAACTCAAGTCATAAAATTGCAGTTAGGCTGCTCTGCCTCTAGCAGCCTCATATTAACTCACTTTAATTTATCCACCATGCTATATATATTTCTAGATGAAATTGAATCATTCCTGCGCACACGCACCGCACACGACCACGAGGCTACTGCAATGATGAAGACGCAGTTTATGTCGCTATGGGATGGACTGATCACTGATCCTTCTTGTACAGTCATTATTATGGGTGAGTTGTTGTCTTTTAATCACTTTCTTAAGCACTCATATAAGTGAAATAGCAAGTATACACTGCTTGCAATAAAAAGTTATACGAAATCTGACTATTTTCCTGAATGAATTTTTTACTCTTGTTTAGTAGGAACAAATTATTTCCAATCAGCATTTTGAAGTATATTCCTTGCTACTATCCTTTTTGTGAATCCTTGAATGGTTCTATATATAATAATTGTTATGCAGGTGCTACAAATCGTCCACAAGACTTGGATAAAGCGATCCAGAGGCGAATGCCGGCCACCTTCCATGTGCCTATGCCTAATGAGTTTCAGCGTGAGAGAATCCTTCAGCTGATCCTTCATGAGGAGCCTATTGCATCCGATGTAAGTGTCTTTGATCCTGAAGAGTTTGTTTGTTTGAACGCGCTAATCTCAGGAACTACGAGTTCAAATATAAAAGTTATTTTTGTGTTTGAGCATTCATCGAGGAAGGCTATAGAACATCGCCCTGTGACTAATATAAGCGAGCATACAGCGAGAAATGAGGGAAAAAACGGTTCAACATTATTGGTTTCCGAGGCGTACGCTGCAAAAACGGTTCAAGCTAACCAAAAAATATGTATGAAAGAATGATTCCTCTTTAAATGATCTAAAAAAAAGCGACACTGTATGTCTATCTCTTAAGATGAACTCGCAAGAACGACGGGTCTTGAGCGACGGGACAGTTAGGACAGTTTGCAAAAACAATTTTGGATGTCCAAAATAACTATTCTACGCGGACGAAATCGCTAGCGGAGCTAGGCAAATCATATGAATTGATGATTTAAAAAAAATGCCATCAAGTGCAAATGCAAAAAATATTAATTTTTTATATTTTAACACTTCCAGATCGACTACAAGAAGCTGGCGGCTACTTCAGAGGGTTTCTCCGGTTCCGACCTGCACGAGGTATGTCGACAGGCGGCCGTGTACCGAGTCAGGGACTACGCACGCGAGGACCTAGCCAGAGAGCAAGAGGTAAGTCATACCTTAATTTAAAAATCGAAAATAAATTGAAAAAATTTTTCACTCCGACTTAACCGTCGTCACTTTCCGTCTGTTGCTCTACCAATTGAGCTACCGAGTCCTACACCTATCTCAATTTTTTCAACTTATTGATACATGCACCTCTCCGCAATGTAATTTCTACCTTAACACTTGCGTATTAAGGCTCAATGTCTTATGCTTTGCAGCTTAAGAAAATAAATTGAAAAAAAAAATTTTTTCAATTTATTTTCGATTTTTAAAATTATATAGTGCCTTCATGTGCAATAACATGTGAAAAATATTAATGTTTTCAAACGTTATAACTTTGTAATTTCATCTTCAATGATTTCTTAAGCTGCAAAGCATAAGACATTGAGCCTTAATACGCAAGTGTTAAGGTAGAAATTACATTGCGCGAGAGGTGCATGTATCAATAAGTTGAAAAAATTCGACGATGAGGTGTAGGACTCAGTAGCTCAATTGGTAGAGCAACAGCACGGAAAGCTGACGATGCCGGTTCAAGTCCTGCCCGAGTCGAAAATTTTTTCAATTTATTTTCGATTTTTAAATTATATAGTGCCTTCATGTGCAATAACATGTGAAAAATATTAATGTTTTCAAACGTAAGTCATACCTTGTTCAAGAGCCACATCACCCTAATCAGGGATGTAAGTGCTGTCACAGGATTTAAAATAAAGAGGTTCTGATTAGGCTTCCATTAAAAATCTTACATGTTGTTCGATCATTCACTCTGACATAATAATATAAATAAACCATATTTCCAGTCCATCGACAACAAGTCCAACTGCTCCGACCCTGACGAACAGTACACGGATGCGATGCGGCCCATAACCATGGACGACTTGCGCAATTCGCTCTTAAAATTAAAGGAGTCCAAGATTCAATGCGGTTCGCTCGCGCCTAGCATGAGGATAGACCTGGATTAGATAATATTTCGAAATTAGCTGGGGTCATTCGCGAAAAACGGGATTATTCCTGAGCATTCTATATTGTCCTTGAGTATTCTTAAATGAAACGAAATATTCTGGAATTTTGCAAACGTATATATATATATGTTCTGGAATACTCTATAGACACTGGAGTCTAAATTCTGAAACTACCAAAACTATCTAGACTCGTTGAATTTGGTTGGGTTGAATTCTGTATTGATGGTGTTATTGTAAGGTTTTTCTTGTTCGTTTTTGCACTTATGTATAGTTTTTTTATTATTGTGTATATATTTTGTTTTTTGTTCTTCATTATAATTTTAACAAAAATCTAGGTTATTTTAATATCCGTAACGGCTGTTTTTGCAATATTTTGTTGGCAATGAAATGGTTAGCTTAGAAAAAATACAAGATGGCGGACTGTCCAACATTTTATTTTCAAGATAGGAAGATACAAATAACATTTACGATACATATGTAAGTATTTCAAATTTATCAATATTGAGATGAAGAAAGTTATTAATCTGTCTATAATAAAAAGTATATATATATTAATATTCTAATGTAGTGTTTCTTTAGAGATGTCTGGCGGGTCACATAGTTAAATAGATGTGTAAATTTGTCTTATTGGTAATTCTCTAGTGTAGGCAATTAAAATATAAAGAAATAGACATATTTATTAACTATGTCAATATCATCCCTTTTTCAAATTAAATTCGTCTTTAAAACAATTTGACCGACTCGTTGATAACAATATATGGGCGATAATCGTGGCTCCGATCCCTACTGGGGCCAACATAGAATTTTTCTGAAACATGTTAAAGTTCTTTCGTCGTATGAAATTGGTGATAGGATTATAAAAAATGTCATCCGGGTCACGAACATAGTTCAGAGATGAGAAAGCAGTGAAGCTTAATTGCGTTTAATTTTCAGTCTGGATACAATGTACAATATTTCGAAGCTCATCATTGAGGTGTTATATCGCTATGGTTGGGGGTATTTTATCTTCCATCAGGTGAACGCCGACGTTTGTCTGTCTTAAAAAAAATACTGACACGCCACATATATCTTATGACGAAAATACTATAAATATTTGTAAAAATCGCTTTGTAGATCAAATCTGCGGTTACTAAATGAAAAATTTATGCAAATCTCTAGTTAGAAAATTTTAGGATAATTTCTTGTTGTGAATATTAGTAGACGAATAGATGTATAAAATGCATTTCGTGTTTATATTGTTAAAGCGGGTACGCACGACCTTGTCTCCTTTGCTATATTTTGTCATATGATGTACAATTGGATATTTGTAAGTTACCTGTTTTAAATAAAACACTTTAACGGTTTAAAACGCGATAAATTAGTTAAACTTATTTGAAAATGATTTTTAACTTCGGCCCGACGTTTCGGATGCTTTGCAGCAGCCGTGGTCACGGCGTACTCGCGTAAACTATAGACAGTATTTAGTTACCTGTTTTGTTTAAAGTAAAGTTTGCGCGAGTAGTACACATTTAAATGAAACACTTTAACGGTTTAGAACATATTACTTGAACTTATTTGATAAATTATTTTTGACTCTGCTACTGCTGCGAAGTCGTAGTTAAAAATAATTTTCAAATAACTAAACTATATCGCGTTAAAGTTAATATGTTTTAATTAAAAAAAAAGTTTTTCTAACCAAGTTGGAAATTTTTGGTTAACCGGCCTTGATATTTTATAGTATATTCGAAATTAAGTGATTTGATTCGTTTTGTTCTAATATTCAAGTAAACATAGAATTGTGATATACAATATTATCAGCTCTATATAATTTCCAACGGCTGTTATTCAACAGCCTTAAGCGGTGATACGCTAGTACTATTAGAGTATGATCTTTGTAGGCATAGACACCATAGTTTTTTTTAGATACACTAAACAAAACACAAAAAACGGTTGTTTTGAAAAATGTCTTCAATAATTAAAGCGTATTATTATCGTTGCCTTGTACAGATAGCTCTAAAAATATATTTATTGTTATATTACTAGGTGCTGGCTGTGTTCAATCGATATCGGTCTTTTCGTAAATTGTTAGCGTCTCTTTTCTGGAAAATTATTTATTCTTAGGTACTTTATTCTTTAAACGAGAGCAATGTCAATCTTTAAAAAAACATGGATACAAAATTTTGACGGAACGTGAATTGTCAATCCGTCAAATCAAGTTCGTGACTCGTTTTGGTGAATAAAGTACATATTTCTCTAGATTAGTTAAGGGTCTCGACAATATGAAGGTGTTTGGATAAAATGAATTCGAGTATATTTAATGTTTGTTTGTTTTTATGGCCAAAATATTTTTTTGTACGCATTCAATAAAAATAGTAAACAAATTGCAAAGGATTTTTTAAAGCGACGTATATTAAATTGGATGTTTACGGATCAAGAAATAATGTATACTAGAATGAGAGCCAAAATTTCCCAGTTAATGCCAGTCTAAACGGGTTTTATGACTTATTTATGTACAAATTTGTATTGTCAGAACTTAATTGAACAAGTAGGTTCTAAACATGCGATGCTATTGTTAAAATTGCTTTTTAATCATTATATTTTACCATTTATTTAATTGTACATAAAAATCTTTATTATGTTTACCAAGCTTTTTATTAGTCACGATCACTGTGTACGCATAATTTATTTGTTACTGTAATTACGAAAGTTTTGAAACATGTGCTTATACATGATTGGTTCGCACGTGCGGCATATGTACCCGTTAATATGGCACTGCGGACTCTGATTAGCTCTATTCTATATCCATAATTCTTATTGGTTACTATTAATGGGCACCATTAAATTATAAGTGTTGCAATGCTACAGGTTTTGGTTGTAGATATAGATATATGCGTCTATTGTAAATAATGGGAAATAAAACGATATTAAGAAGTGTGTTTTTACTTAACCTTTATTTTAGGTTGTTAAAGAAGCTGTTTTATATAAATCTAGTGGTTTAACAGCACCTACATCACATATTATTATAAAATAGTATCTTAATTATGGAGCCTGCCTTTTCGCTGAAAATTGTTTGACCTCTTATCACTGCTAACAAGCTTTTACAACTTTCCCCCTATTTTTCACTTTGACTACTAAATGCTGTCAAATTTTTTGGACAACGATTTATTTGGTAACATTATTGTTATGCTGATTATTGTAATGACAAAAAATGTTTGGGGCATTTATTTTTTGTCGAATTATTTATTAGGTCAGACATCTTTGAGACTAGAACCTAATCGCTTTTATTTTACTAATAAAATGTACGCTTACTCAAATAATCATTCGGTAAACAATAAACAACTACATACATAAATATTATGCTAACTTAAACATTCGGTACTTGAAAGTTGACATTTTAAAAAGTGTCAGACTAAAAGTAAAACCAAACGTAAAGTTGGCAATTGTTGCCAAAAGATGCCAACTTAAAAACAAAAGTCTATCACAAATTGGAAAATGATTATTCGGCGAAAAGTTAGTTGGCAAGGCAAAGATCTCTTAATTATTATAAATCCGGTATTTGGTTCCGAGGAGTTTCCACGCGACACCCTTCATCGAATTATCCAAATCTTTTCCTGTCTTTCCCGTTCCCTTGTCGTTACTTGGGTGAATACTTATATCGGAACACGAACCGAAAGTTTCCTGTTTTCCGCATCCCATTCCGTCTGTACCATCATCACAATGCCCCCAATTATTTCCCGCCACGTATCTCCATTGCAAAACACAATGTTCACACACCAAGTCCTCTGGGAGTCGATATTTCACCGTAAAATTACCGCCATATTCTGGAAAGTAATAAAACCCGCCATTTTCCAACTCTAGAGGAAATTGGTCGAAGCATGTTTGTTTCAGTTCAGCTTCAGGTTTCGGGCACAGTTTAAAATACCAGTAGCCCATGTGAAATGCTGTTATTTCGACAGTGATGTCTATTATTTGGCCAGACGTGTAATTCGCGACTATAACACCATCTCCATACAGTCCGCCGAGCTCGTGTGGCCGTGGTGTTGCTATATCGTAAGCGTCGCCACAAACTCCGCACCTTAAAAAACATTTATATAAATCATGGATGGAAAATCATAACACCTTCAATTTATTACAATTGTTTTTTATTCATTTAGTTGTTTCTTTATATTTTGTTAATATTTTTTGGGTGCTCTATCAAATTTAATGCGAATGTTTCGACTCAGTTCACCATCACTTACTTCCCTTTATTCTTCGTATGCTGTCGATCAAAACCACCACAGTTAAGACCTGTGTCGTCATAATTAGCTGTCGTATTGAAGCCCAAACGCCATGCGGTAGCCCTCCCGGGGGGTGACCATACCCTGGCGTGGCTGAATACTGATGCCGCAAAAGTTATTATTAGCAGCAGGTGCCAGAAAATCTAAAAAATTTGGATACTTAAAGATTGTTTGAAATATTTTTCGCGGCAGAGTAGTAAAAATATCATTAGGCAAAAACTTATTGATTAAGTAGTTCTAAATACTGTCTATAGTTTACGCGAGTAGTACACATTTAAATAAAACAGTTTAACGGTTTAAAACGCGATATATTAGTTAAACTTATTTGAAAATAAAACGTGGGGCCGAAGTTCATATAAGTTTAACTAATAAATCGCGTTTTAAACTGTTATAGTGTTTTATTTAAATAAATAGTTCTAGTTATTTTATAACGTTAAATTTCTTCTCTTGGTCATCAGATCGCATCGTTTCACTTATAAACAAAAGAAGGGCAAAATTACAAATAATAATATCTTAACTAATAAATAACTGTAACCTAACCAACCATATACGTCTTTAAACCGCATCTGTAGCTAAATGGTTAAACGTGTTGCCTAGGATAGCGTTAAGCGCGAAAGGTCCAGGGTTCGAATCCCGGGGAAACAGTAAATTGTTTCGGTCGGGGTAGGGCACAGAAGTCTAATCTACTACTTGCCTGTAAATCGATCAGTGAAACGGACACAGAAATGTGTTCGCCCTATGCCCCACGAGGGGAAACGGGATTTCACAAACACAACCATATTACACAGGTTTAATTTACCAACCATATACGTTAGTTTTTTGAATTGTAATATGGTTATATATACATGAGAGGTTTTATTATGAATTTAGAATTTATAATAATCATACAAAATATAATATCGTACCTTGTTATCAATCATAATTGTGAGTTTGGTTTAGGTAGTAGGAATTAGTGGTATACAATCACATCTTTGACTTTTTATAAATTATTTGTTAATTATTTCGATCTAGCACACTGGCTGCTGCTCAAGGTAGAAATGTTTTAAGTGTCTTTTATTAGTTTAACTATATTAAAACTTAATTGACACGGAAAAAAGATATTAAATTTATATTAATAAAGTAGGTTACACTTGGATTGAATTTTTGAATTAATACACCTCCAAACTACATTCGTTTATTTGCTTATTAAACAATACAAACACTTACACTGGAAATTATTTGAACTGCAACGAGCAACCTCATTGTTAAGGAATCTCTTCTAGACAATATACTCTTGGAGAATTATAATAATTTCCACTTTAAATCTATGATATTATTAGAAAAACTTATGAGTTACTTATTGAACTAAGAAATGCAGGGTGTTTTGTAAATATATATTTATTCAAATCCTTTTGTTTGACGTGATATTATTTAAAATGGACCTAGTTAGGAAATAGTTAATAGATAGAGGGAAGATTATCTTTTTAGTCATAATTTCTATTTTATAAGCCTATTAATGTATACACTCTAATAATGTTGAATTTCTATATGGGTATGCTGTTATATCTGTGTTATCGCGTCTTCAATCACTAAAGGCCCACTCTCAGCATCTATATATTTCAATCTAGCGATACTTATATCGGAACAAGAGCCAAATGTTTCCTGGTTTCCACAGCCGATAGCCTGGGTTCCGTTACTGCATACTCCCCAATTGTTCCCAGCGACATACCTCCATTGTAGGATACAATGATCACATGATAAACCGTCTGGCAAACGATATCTGGCAGTGAAAGTACCACCTTTCGGAGGGTAGTAGAACAATCCGCCATCTTCTAATTCCAGTGGGTATTTATCGAAACAGGCTTGTTCTGGTTCATTTTTGGGGTCTGGGCATAGCTTGAAGTACCAATAGCCTTTGTGGAACGCTGTTATATCCACTATAGCTTCGAGGATCTGTCCTGATTCGTATTTGCCCACGATTATTCCTTTGCCGTAGGTGCCGCCGAGCTCGTGGGGGCGTGGTATTGACATGTCGTACGCGTCACCACAGATGCCACAGCTGGAAGTATAGGTAAGGTACATAAAATAATGTTCAGCTATAATTAAGAGAAGCAATTTGGCATTTAGTGGTAAGTGGGTCAGACACATTCCTGGGACCTGGGATCGATTTTGTTTACGGGTAAGTAGAATTTGCCTGTGCTCTGACGATTTTGCACTTAAAGCAAAGCACTATATAAGCGACCATTTATTATTAGGAAATTTTAAAAAGACTTTAAAATGTTACTGTTCTGTATAGTTTATCAAAATTTATAGAAGTGATACACTTGTGGTATATAATAGGAATTATAATTAAAATAATAATAATCATTTATTTTTCAGACCATAAATCCATTTCTTAAAATGTGTGTTAGTTGGGTAAGTAACAATTTTTAACTTGAAATGTATTGTCGAATTATATCTAATAGACTGATTACGACTAACAAGTGCAGATCCTACATAATATTTTAGTTTTAATTTACATATCAAGGATCAAACAATACAACAATGTACACTGTACTATATTGTCATATTTCAGGATTTCTCAAATGTATTGTGGGGAAATTTCTCCCTTTCTTATGTAAGAAACTTACTTTCCTTCATTCTCCGTGTATTGCTTGTCAAAACCTCCACAATTTAAACCAGAGTCGTCATAATTAGCCGGTGTCTTGAACCCCATGCGCCACATGGTAGCCCTGCCCGGGGGCTGGAGCACTCTGCCGTGACCAAGCACTTCTACCGTTAAGGTAGTCAGTGCTACAAACTGCCATAGCATCTAGTAATAATCGATTGGTACATATTAAATGAAACAGTCCCTCGTGGCTGTTGTGACGCAATTGAAATAAACTACCAAATATACTTCGCATTTAGAAACCGTTAAACCGTTATTAATGAAGGAGCACTGCGTTTGTTCACATCCTTGTCTGTCGTGGTAAACCTTCCCCCATGATCGTTCAATAAACTCACCTTTAAAATATATCCACGTCGACACTCAATTACTAACGGGATGGTTTCTATTTCATTGTATTTATATTTACCATAAAGATAATGCTATAATCCACAGCGATAAGGCATTCAAGACTATTTCATGTAGCCGCATTTCTAATTTCTATTGCTCAAAGATTAGATGGTTGAAGGAGAATTAGATATTGTTTTTATGGCCAGTCATACGATCCAGAAAATTACCACATATACCATTCAACTGAGCCTTCTATAACAATATGTAACTTTGGAGCTTTTAAGAAAGCACTTTGAACCGCAAAGCTACAAAGCTCGTTTTATTATAGAATATAATGGTACGTATTATGTTTTATACGAATATAAAGGCGCACGACATCATGTTAATTTTGATGCCTTAAGCAGTAGAAATTACTTGACACGAAGTGAGGAAGCATTTTAAGGCATTTTTATATCAACTTTAAACAATTCGGTGCAATAAAGCAATAAAACTATATAATAAACTTTGGTATTTATTTTATTTATACTCAATATAAACGTAAATTCGATGAATGATGATGATAAGAATGTTCTTATTTGTACGTTCGTATGTGTCATGTCCAATAAGAAATCCACGATTCCAAAGATTTTACCTAAAACAAATTAATGTATGTGAATATTTGTATGTACGAAGGTATTAGCAAGTCGTTACAGACAAGAAACGTTTTAGTTTTTTGTAATTAATTTGTCTTCCATATTATGTTATATTACAGCTAAGGTAAGTACAAACGTTTAAAGAAAAACACAATAAAATAAAAGTGTAAATGAATTATAATATAGAAAATAGTAATTGATTTCATTTCTTCAATCGAGGAATATTAGCAAAAAATTTAAAGGGACATATTTAAGATTACCTTTTTTCTCTTCTTGGCCTTCACTTCATTTCTTGGTTTCCGGTGGCTCTTGCGTTTATTTAATTTTTTCTTTGGTTTGGTGTAATATGGCGCAACATTTGCCTTTTGCAGAAGTCGAAATAGACCTGACAAAAAATATAGTTATAGCCACACGTCTTTTTCTGTTAAAAGGTAATGCCTCTCCCATTTTAAACTTTGCTACTGTTGAAATCTCATCAAAATCGCTTCTCGGTTTTCATAGTATAGCATACGTTAAAAGAGAGCTTAAATTTGATTCGAGAACGGGACAAATATTAAATCTTTCATAAATTATTTTAAAATCTGTTTTGAAACTTAAATGCAAGACGGATAAGTATGTTAATCATATCGCTGGATTAGGAAGCAATCAAAGGCGAATAAAGCGTACTAATAAAGTTTATTAACAGATAAACATGACAGCTTACCGCCCGCCGATTAGGACTAGAAGCGTGAAGTGTTATTGTGCAACTTCATAATAAAAAAATGTCTAAGCAAAAATCGATATTAGATTGAAAAAAATTTACGACACGGGCAGGACTTGAATGTGCTTTCACGGCGTTCCTTGTTGTTGCTCTAACTAAACCGAGTCCTACACCTCATCGTCCAATTTTTTACCTGTCCGTTTAAAACAAATCATTTGGCCGTATATGACTGTAGTCCAAGTATTCGGGTAAAGTAGAAAGTTCGGCCGAAAGCAAAAATTACCGTCATTCATCGTACTTTTGGTTAAATTTGATGATGAAACTTCGGGAGAAAATTAATGTTTATTATGTAATGTTTGCTTATACCTACACTAAATAGTTCGGTCATCAATCATTTTATGTAAATAAAACACTTTAACGGTTTTAAAACGTGATATATTAATTAAAATGATTTTTTATTTCGGCCCGACGTTTCGGACGCTTTGCAGCAGCCGTGTCTCCCCGTGACCACGGCTGCTGCAAAGCGTCCGTCGGGCCGAACTAATATATCGCGTTTTAAACCGTTAAAGTGTTTTATTTACATAAAATGATTGATGACCGAATTATTTAGTGTAGATATAAGCAAACATTGCATAATAAACATTACTTTTCTCCCTAAGTTTCATTTAAGTGTTTTATTTAAATGTGTGTACCACTCGCGTAAACTATAGACAGTATTTAATCATTTTATGTTTTATATTTACTCTGGCTCTCATTAATTGTTCGTACCTACGTATTCTTTTGTCAACGATTAAAATATTTAAAGAAAACTTTATTTTTTATTCGCTTGCATTTTACCTATAATATCTAAAATAACTGAATTTTAACAATCTCTTTCAATGCTTACATATATTAGAGATCTTGTGCGTAAGGATTTTATTGCTATATGATAAAGCGCAATAAATACATATCTTTATTGAGTTCAATTAGGTACAATGTGGATGTATAGAAGTAGAATAATTGTGCCAAACGTTTTCCACTGTGCAATGTTTTATTTATATGTTTTTGAAGTTCAGCCTTTTTTATAGTTTAGTAATCTCGTGTAATGTTTAGAATTATTAAGCGTCAAAAATGCATGCATTAAACAATTTAGCAAAATGCAACAAAGGTAAATATAACATATAACTTTTATTTCTACAATATTTACAATATACATTTAAATAAAACACTAATAAAACGCGATTAGTTATCTTATTTGAAAATGATTTTTAACTTCAGCCCGACGTTTCGGATGCTTTGCAGCAGCTATGGTCACGGGGAGACGGCTGCTTGTGTTTTATTTAAATGTGTACTACCCGCATAGACTATAGACAGTATACAATATACATGTTAAAATGCTAGAAATAAATATAATTTTACGTCTTATATAAGATAAATATATCATTTTGAATTGCATAAAATATAATTTATTATAGTTGTACCACCATTAACATGCGGGGTTATTATCCTATACCCAAATCTTAACATATAATTACCATATTACATAAACTGGCAACTCATAACATCGAAGCGATCTCATACAATTTCCAGAAGTGCGAAATTACTTTCCCACGTTAAATATTAAAAACACGTTTCTAATGAAAGTTGCACTAATACTGAGGAGAAATACTGATCGTTAGTTTGTTAGTCGGAACGTCACTCACCTTGCGCAGACTTTAAATCCAAGGGAATACTCTCCGGTTCTGTGTATCGGAGGGGAGATATGGCTATATCGGAACAGGCTCCAAAGGTTTCTTGATTTCCACAGCCCACAGCTTCTGTACCATTGTCACAGCGTCCCCAGTTATTCCCAGCTATGTACCTCCATTGTAGAATACAGTGATCGCAAGATAAACCATCTGGCAAGCGGTAGCGAGTAGTAAAAGTGCCCCCTTTCGGTGGGTAGTAGAAGATTCCCCCATCTTCTAACTGTAGAGGGTATTTGTCGAAGCACCGCTGGCTCGTCTCAATGGTGGGTTCCGGGCAGATTTTGAAGGACCAGTATCCTTTGTGAAAGGCAGTTATCTCGACCGTGGCTTCGAGGATTTGACCAGAAGCATAATTGGCGACGACTGTTCCTTTGCCGTAAGTGCCACCTAGCTCGTGGGTCCGTGGTGGGGACATGTCGTAAGGATCTCCGCATACGCCACATCTGTCAAAATTTTATTGAGAAGTTAGGGCCAGATAGGCGTTATTTAAAAAAAATATGAAGTAAATGTTATGGATCAAAATAGTTAAAGTAGATGGTTAGGTTAGTAGAGTCTATAGTTCATATTTAGACAGTAATCAATTGTTCTTAAAACAAAAAAGCACTTATATATATACAAGATTTAAAAAAATACTTACACGTTTAAAATAATAACATTTTCAAACGATTATATTAAGTTATTGTATAAAATAGCATTGCATAAATTATAATATATGTACTTTACTCGGGATCCACAATTGGTTAGACTAACTCTAGATGTCGGATCAAGTCCCGCATGTGTCAACGAATATTTTCAATATAAAATAGATTTCTAATAAATATTAAACGCCAGATAGTTACAATAGTACATAATTTCACATTTATTTCACTGCTAGTTTGTTGTTTTATCTTTTGAAGTAAGCTCAATGCCTTTTTGCGCAAATATACAGACCGCTTTTTATATTACTAGTTAAATGTGATTGGAATGGCTTTTTTAGTTATTACATAGTTTATTTTATCATTTGCATAATAACATTTCTTAATTTGTTTATAGTATTATTATAATAGACCGTTTTATTCTGATAGGTACATATTATATAAGAGTGTTAGGTATTTATTGAGTTAATAATATTACTTTCCACGATTTGTCCTGTGCTGGCGATCAAAACCTCCACAGTTCAGGCCATCGTCATCATAATTCGGTGGACTATCGAAGCCGAAACGCCACATGGAAGCTCGGCCGGGGGGCTGGAGTACTCTACCGTGACCAGACACTGACCATGCGAAGGAAGCAAACAAATATGTTTGCCACAACATCTATGGATAACGATGAAATATTTCTTTAAGACAAAACACTTTAACAGTTTAAAACGCGATATATATATTAGTTTAACTTATTTAAAAATTATATTAACTACGGCCCGACGACGGGAGACATAATAAATATCGCGTTTTAAACTGTACAAGTGTTTTATTTAAATGTGTACTACTTGCGTGAACTACAGATAGTGTTTATTTTATTTGTACCTAGTATTAAAATAACTTTTTATACCAATTAAAAGAGCAGTGTGGTGGTTATTTGACAATCTATGTAACTATAAAGCATGTATAATTTTATAAAATCTAAATAAACCTAATTTATTTCATACAAATCAAGTACTATGCTTCGCCATCTCAATGGTTAAGCGAATTGCAGTGTCAGCAGACGACTGATCTTAGGTATAAATTAAATCGACATGCAAAACAGACATTCTTTGTCTTGTATATTAGAGAAACGTGGTTTCACTCTACATCTTAGTATTTACTTAAACATTTATTATAAATATTGCGTATTTTTTACAACAGTAGTATTTCTTGAATATTACAGATAGAATTCAAATAGGTACACCTAATAATGAAGCCTTTTTGCCCTGTGGGGTATGGGGGAACGCATTTATCTGTCCGTTTAACTGATGGGTTTTTTTACAGGCAAGTAGTTGAGTCTGTGCCCTACCTGACTGAAACAATTTATTGTTTCCGTGGGATTCGAACCCCTCTTGCACTTAACGCAATGCAAGGCAACACGTTTAACTATTTTCTTGCATAGGCGGAGGGAGGGTGTACGCTAACATCAAAATGCCTGTATATATGTAATAAAATATGCACTAACCTCGAATTTAAATAACCAGCTCAATTGAATTGTACATAATCCTTTGTATATTTTGTGCACTCCGCTAACATTTATAGGTGCGTGAGCGCATTTATCAAATAAATAGATATCAGTCAACAGATAATGAATCAAAACAATTACTACGGAAATGAATCAAACGTTTTTAGTTATCTGTATTTAATTAGGAAGATTATCTTTTACGCCGTGATTTACAAGCATTAGATAAAAAATAGTAATAAACGCACTACATACAACTCACGTCTTAATAAAATATATAAAAAAATATATATATATGTATATACTGCAATTTTATAACATTTGAAAGCTATAATAATTATTATAAGTGTTATTTTATCGGTTACTGAAATATTAGTATTGGAGCTTTCTCGATCATTACTTTCTATCTGTTTGTTCGCGTAAAGCTCCTAAATGGATCGATAAAATATTTTATCCTTGTTTTCAGGTCTTATGTTAAACTAATTAAAACGTCATACAATTGCCTATTAACTAAACAAAAATCAACAAACTAAATCTAAGCAATTTAAACAAAGATCCTTACCGTAGAAATAAATAATATAGGTGTGTTGTATCTTACATTGTCGACACTAAAAGACTGCAATCTAGGAATTACACTCACATCACAATGGTAAGTAAAACACTATAATTTAATAGAATACTAGCATAATACTTTTTAGCGCTGTTACGCGTTACAGCCGCGTCGGGCGGTCTCGGTAACTATAATCAACTTTATCAAATCCTGCCCTTTCCATTTCGCCACTTTACTTTCACCTAAAATCGATCTGTCGAGCACCGAGACGCTGCACTTCAGAGAAATTCTGATGACCATTCAATAATTGGATTTCGCAAGTCATTGGTTTTCTTTATGACAGAAGAGGACGTAAGATGTAATGTGGTACTCTAACCAATTACTAATAATATTTCCAGCTTATATAAAATAATTTAAATTTAAAGAAATTTATTCATACAAAGTAAATAGCCCAAACTCGTCACGTTTATGACACCCTGGAGTTTTTGAATTGTGATCATTGATAACTGCGACGATCGAGATGTGTTTCTTAAATCAAACGGAATTCCTGCGACCGCGCTTAGTCAAATTTTGCAAATATGCTTTAAACGTTATTAGCCCCGTTATAATAACTGAGATAAGGGCGGCTACTCATGGAGATTTTTTATCAAGCGTGAAGCGAATGGAATTTATCATTTTTAGAGTCCGAAATTATTTTCAATTTCCGCCTATGAACCGTTCGTGTTAGACTGCTGTCAAATTTAAATATTGAAACATGTGTTAGCGACTTCCGTTTCCTTTACTTCCGTTTCCTCGACCCACCACCCTGGCTACTCCAAAGATACCAAATAGTTATACACCCGGTTCCTTCATTAGTAAAATAAATAGTAAAATAAAAATAATATCATTTTAATTAATTAGAATTTAGCTAAATATATTTATTTAAGTAATTAACGTTAGTTAAAGAATTGAGTTTATATCTTGAATTATTTAAAACAGTGCAGATTTATTTTATTTCTAATTGTTTGATATTACGAATAGCCGGCTGCTTAGTTTTCGGTGAAATTATTATGATAGGTGGCAGTGTTTGTCAGACTGACATAGAACGGTTTTTTTTACAGTTGATTGTGTTCTGGTAATAAATTTCTGTCCTGTATTTGATAAGGACTTTAGTTACTCTTCTAGAATATAAGTGTAAAGTGTAAATAGTGTTGTTATTTCGCTAACCTAACCTACGTATAACACATGTTTACTAATGAGTTTCATTAAATTTTAATTCTAAGTTAAGCCTGCATTGTTCTTAAAAACTTTTTAATATTTCATTCAGGGCTTCCTTTTGCAGTTGCAAAACAGTTCAAAGAAATCAACAAAATAGTGTGACTAACCATATCATTTTTGCATTAAAATACCATTCAGGGAAATAATTATCAAGCGTTATCAATTTGTACTTCCACTAATATCAATAACATTACACAATTGAGTTATACTGATAGCTTATAACTACCAAGAAGTTAATTGTCCTTATTATACCAAAAAAACCTGTCTTATTTTGGATATTGATAATTTACGATTACCAAACAAAACACAATATACGAAATAGTCATTTATTATCGCACGAGTTCCTTGCCATAATTTTAGATAAATAAGTTAAATAATAAAATGCTGACTTAATGAATACTTATAATTAACAAGATGACGTCGTGTAACACATTTGTTTTTTTCAATTTTGCTCGTCCAAACATACAAATAATGATGTGCAAATGAAACCAAATCTGACGCCCAATTCATATTCGCTTAACTTCTATGGCAGGTAAAATTCAATCAAAAACTATTAAAAAATAATGAATACCAACGAACAGCAAACAAATAAAAAACAATCAAATTGCAAGACGTCTAAATATTACAAGGGACTAAATAAAATTTTGGAATAGTAAATGCAATAGTTCAGGGCAAAAATATAGTAGCCATCGTTGCGTACAACTAATAATTAGGTTATCTAAATAATGGGAAGCCAAGAAGTAGAGTTAAATTATTTACAATAGTATTAAAAATACAACTTATTAAGCGTACGAACGTTGCGATTTTTATTCAACTTTTACCTAAATATACATCACAGATATAGATATAAAAACAAAGCTGCGGCGAGCTTCAAATGTGTACACTGAAATTAACTAGTAAAGAAAACTCGACCGATAAGGAAACATAAATTTCATTTTCCAAGCAACAAATGAATCGACTAAGTATAATGAAATCAAAGATGAGTATAATAATAATTATAAAACGAAATTAAAATCTAATGATGAAAGAAAAGAAGAGGCGAGAACAACAATAAAGAGGAATGAAAACCTGTCCCATCTGGGATCTAATAAAGTCGATTCCAAAAATCATTGGCAAGCACTTAAATTATAATATAGTCTTATTTATTACTAGTTCTGATAACTGCACTGACATTTATATAGAAATAATATTATTGACTAGATATTTCTTAGAACAATATCTTAAAAGATTTACAAATTGTATTATGTTACTAGCTTAGCTATGTACCTAATGTGTTAGTTGTAAATAAATAAATAAAGTTTAAAATACTTTTCAAAATCAACGGAATTCGGATGGGAAGTGAAACTGTTATTAGAATAAATGAACCAAAAGTGATATTAGTTGAATATATTATACCTTATTATTTTTCAAACTCTGTTTTTTAGTCATCAATAATTGTTATTTATTAGTTACTCTCTTTGTCACATTTTCTATTACTATCGTGTTGGTCGTCCTGTTTCCTCGTTTCCATTTTAATAGGAAACTCTTCATTAAGCAAGTTTTCGAATTCCAACGCGACTTTGGAGATACTTTTCTTCATTGTGCTATCTGGATAGCTCTGAAATAATGGTAAAAGTAAAATCAATACTTTAATACTATTTAATTTAAACAAAGAAGAAATAGTACTAAACCTTAAGATATAGCTTAACATTATTGAAAATTCGTCTAAAATCTTGTATAACTTGGTCTAATTCTGTATACGATGAATTCTTCAACTTAGTCAGGATGTCATGTAGACACATCGGGTATTTTACGATTTCGTAAAAGCGAGGCGCCTGAAATGGGATTAGATTCAGGCAAATAAATTCAAGTTTTATATAATTTTAGTATACAAACTGCATCATACCGTTTTTATGTCCATGTCATGTTGAATGAATTTAGCCTCATTTAGTGTCGATAATTTTGCTAATATAATTTCAAACTTTTTCACAGTGTTTGGTGGTAATGTTTTTTTCTTTTTTGGATGATACCACATTCCAGAAACCGCCACTTTTGTTTTAGTAGCAGTTCTTTTCTGGCTCTCATCTTTAACGTAATTTCCAGTTTGGTCAAAGTTAGGACGTTTCATCTCATTAAAACCATCGATTTTCTCGACATTAAGATCAATATTTTCTTCCGTTTCAATTGATTTTTGTTCAGAGTCACATAATTTAGAGATATCCTCGTTAAAAAAGCTACAATTTAAATCTGGTTTATTAGTGTTTTGATCCCATAACGGGGATGCTAATTTCATATATTGTTGTAGAGTTGAACTCGTCGGCCATACTTCGCTTCTGTCTAAGTTTGATTGCATTTCTTTAGATTCACTTGCGTATTCGCCAATACTACACAATCCCAGAGCACCATAGAGCCGAGCCGTATCTGACTTACAGCCTTCATGAAGAAAATCCATCAGTTTTGGCGCTGACTGCTTTGCTGCCTCCCAGGCGCGATCCGACGTCATTGTACTAAGAATATCTAGACAATCAACGTTTCTCATCTCTAATGAAGGTAGCATATTTCTCAGTTTTTGTTCTTCACTAAACACTTCTTCAGCGCGTCGCGATATTAAGCACGGCCAAGATTCGAAGTTATATTTTGGTTGTGGTGCCAACGTAACAGAAGAATATGAACTATTTATTTTTAAGGAATTCACATCGTCCTGGTTATCGAAGACCATTTCTGGAGATCCGCTGGGCGCAAACGGTGATAACGGATCAGCTGGCTTTATAGGCACTTTGTAGCTTCCAGGTTTCATATATACTTTTGACATCTCATGGAACTCATCATTTTCATTGTCTATAAATTGTACGGGGCCAGAGATATTGCTCGAGAGCGTCACAACATTTGATGGGATTTGAATGTTGTGAGTGTGATGAGTTAAAAAGTCGTTAGATTCTTTTTGTACCATCTGACCCCACGCCGCAAAAAAATCCGAGTCTTCTTTAGTATCACCGCAACTATTGTTTTTTTGGACGTAGTTTTTAATATCAGCTACTGTGGCCATACTTGGTATTAAAGTTTTCTCAACATGACTCAAAGGAATCATTTTTGCTTTTAATTCCATATCCCTACGTTGCATTAAATCGCAAGGCATAGCTCCAAAAAGTGGTTGTCCAGGTGCTTTTCCAAGCTCAGCGTCCATTTTATGCCTCAATTGGTTATATAATTCACGCTGATCTGAGTGACACATGCTTTCCAATGCTCTGAAATCTGGTACATTAGTAATAGTCCAAGACTGACGCGGCTTAGCTTCTCTAACATTATATGGATCACATTTATACTGTGCCTTTTGGTAGTCTATTTCATTTTGGTCGTTTAATGGATAAACATTTTGAGTGTTGGGTGGAGGTACAACTGGAAATTTCTTGTAGTTAACATTTGGTCTGGATGGCCATGGTGCCTCATTAAAGCTTTGTACCTGAGGTTGACTTTGATTCTGCATCCAAGGCGGTTGAACAGTATTGTATGGCTGGGGTGACGAATTGATCGCACGTGGAGTGCTGACATGCGCCTTTATCGGTTGAAATTTACCTTGATTCTGATGGCGCGGAGCTGCCGAGTTAGTTGCGTAATAGTTATGGGTAAAACTCTTTTGCTCCATGGTAAAACCTTGATCGAGACACTTAAAGGTTTTATAAATATGCGTTAACATTTCCTTTGTAATCGCCTGCCATTGAACAAAGCACTCTCTAATATTTGGACTGTAATACTTATTTTCGATTCTGGAAAAAGTGTCATGCTTCTCGCTGAGCAATTCTTTTACACCTTTCCAGCCATCTAAGATTCTAACGAAAGAGAATATAAAGTTTTTGATAACCCAAGGGATGCCTTGAGAGTGTAAGTTGGCTACAGCACTATCTGGTTTTTGCACATTTGAACGAGTTTTCGCACAAATTGAATGTATATTTTTAAAACAAGGTCGATTATGATGAGCGATCGCTATATTCTCGGCGTCAGTACACGCCTCTATAGCGAGTTGAACGATTTGTAATGGAATTTGATCGTGTATAATAAGTTTATCTAGAGCTGTCAATAGTATATCCGAAGATCCGCTAGATTTATTCTTATCTTCATCTTGCTGGTAGGTTTTTGAATTTTTCGGGTCACTTTTTGCATTAGGATCTGGTATATTACAAAGTTCAGACACCATTCTCTCACCTTCAGCAAAGAAGTCTAAGCTCGTCGTCGAATCGGCTCTTAAATTACGATCTAGTTTTCTTGATTCGATTTCGGTGCTGGAATCTTTGTACCTCTCATGAAAACGGGGATCGGCACTGCTAAAGTTTCGCTTTTCGTGACTCTTCACAATTTTCTTTCTAGCGCCAGTGCCTATGGGTTCTTGATTAGAGACAGACCATGAGCTTTGCGACCGTCTGTCAGAGTTTGTATGTTCGGTCATTGTCGATCGGCTGTAGTTGGGAGACGAGGGATTAAACACCACACCCACCAGAGGCGAATGAGGCGGTGAGCTGAATGTGGGCAATGACGAGTTATTATTCCTTGAATGTGAAAAAAATCTAATATAATAAGTAACATAAAGTAAATACAGAAACTACACAGAGTAGAACAATAGTAATAATATTTGCATAACTGTACTTTTGATTACCGTGTATTGTGATATTGCTGGCTGGAAGTGCTTTCATAAACTCCAGAAGCTACTCGGCCATAGGTTACCTTTACCTCACCTTCCTTTAAACCTGAAAGCAAAAAAACACATTAGATACTACACTTCAAATTCTTTTAATTTTAAATTATTATTTATTTGACCTTATTTGTAAAACTAATGAAAAGTGGACTCTGACCATAGTTTTTCTGTGTTACGGGGTACTGATGCTTTCCGTGGAAGCCTTCTTGTGTTCTTTCCCTTCCTTCAGCGATATCGCGATGCTCATTTGTTTTGTCACCACCATATTCTTGCATTTGGCTCAAGATCCTTCAATGTTACGACATTTTTATTACGATCACATTAGAAAAATATACATCAATCGTTTTGACACCGTGAAGAAATGTTATCAATCTAGATGGTTTCATCTTTTAAAAATTGTGACTAAGTCGATAAAATGTTGTGGAAATACGCTAATTACGTCTATACTGACGATTATGTGCAAGAAATACTGTGCTTTTTCGAGAAATACCCTTTTTTAAACAAAAAAAGCGCAAGCGTATTTTTCATTCTCGTTTCATTTTCACTTTATATTCCTTACCTTTCGTTTTGAATTTCCCGGGGCCTTTCCTGGATGTCGCCTCGATACTAATATATTGTAAAATTATTCAATTACCTATTGAGTGATAACTTCGCCTGTCAAAATGCTACGTCTCTTTAAAAAACTTTAATCTTAAAAATAATTGTTAGATTTGTACACGATTTAGATTTGTTTCGGACACTTTTAATCCTACAAATTTTTTGTATATTTCTTTTTGTTGAAAGTGATAATCATGATCGCTTTTCTTCCTTCCTTGTGCAATGACCAATGTGTGACTTGCCAAATATTTCAAACCGACCATATGATTTCGTTCATTTGTTTTAGACGTGAATTTTGCTTTTCAGCGCATCGTATACGATCTTCATAGTGTACCTTCTGTAGAGATTTTTAGCAAAGCTGTATTTAATGATTCTACTATACTTTAATTTTTTTTGTGAAATTATTGTAGATATAACAAAACAAAAATAAAACGAAATCAGTCAAGATCTGTTGCTATAATTTATAGGCATTTGTTATAATGAATACCTTATTCAAGTAATTAAACAGGCTTGACATTATTTTATTAAACTAATATTTTGTTGTCCAAAGGAAAGACAGGGAAGTATTTGCAAATAAAAAACATTCAAAGCACTTTATAAAAACCCTACTTCCTTTATCCGTTTATTGAATCTAATAATAAATGCGGTTTTTGTTACTTAAATGCGATTGTGTAATATCAATACAACCATAATAGATTTGTAGAAAACCGCACGACAATTCATCAAGTTGTTTCCTTATTACTAGAAACATATAAGCAGACACTGATTTTGTAATAAGCATTATTAAACAGCTATAAAGCTCATTGACAAAAATATAGTGAGAACTCCATAAAAACTATGTTTCGAGGAGTTATTACACAGGTCTTTGTTACATGAACAGACTTCTTGTCGGCCTCCATAACCCGCCCGGTTGTAACAGGTGTTCTGGAAAAAGTGAGTAATATATATATAACAAGTAATATATTTAGTACATAAGATTAGCGTAATACATAAGATGCTCAATAGGTGCACGTATCAATCGGTTGAAAAACTAGTTTTTTAATGTACATAAGACTAAATAGAAAATTAATTGTATAATTCAACAACATGGCAACATAATTTTTTTTTACTTGGAATCGGAAAGCAACTGAAAAATAATTTAAATAAAACACTTTAACTGTTTAAAACGCGATATATTAGTTAAACTTATTTGAAAATGATTTTTAACTAATATATCGCGTTTTAAACCGTTAAAGTGTTTTATTTAAATGTGTACTACTCGCGTAAACTATAGACAGTATTTAACTGAAAAATAAGCGAAATCATAAACCTATTTATTAACATAAATTCCAAATACAGATTGTAACTCTCAAAAATGTACATACCTACCGACATTTTTATAATTTTCTTATGTAAACGCAAGTTAGAGCTTTAAGTTTGTTTAAACACCAGTACGCTGTTGGGTTGTTTACAAGTTTCCGCTTACGTTACGTACAATTTTACCACCACAACAATACACTACAATTTAATATATGTAATAATTCTTATCTAGTCTAGATGAGTCGTTCGAAAGCTGCGATTAATAGAATATTACCTTATACCGACTCTCATCCCAACCACAACTCCTAATAACTCTGCTCATGGGCATTTGTCCATTAGTCTCATAGTCCACGTGCTGAATTATCTTCCTGCACAGCGTGTGAGTGACTCCTCTGTCCAGGTCTGAGCAGTTCTTCTTCAGACTATCAGGAAGAACAGGGGCCGAACACATTGAGTTGAGGGCGCTGTTACATTCATAACACATGATGGCTACACCTGTGATAATAATATAGTTAGATTAAAATATTTTTTGTTAAGAATATTTATCCTCTACATTTCCCACGAGAGGACCTAATAGAAGACACAAAAGCGAAGTTCTGCTACAAATTTACAAAATATAGAAGTATATATTTTGTACAGTAAATTTGCTACCATTACAACCTAATAGTTAGCACGGTATAAAATAACAGAAAAGCAACGTTTTTTATGGAGTATTATATACTTCAGTTAATAACATGTAGATAAACAACGCAGAAAAAAAACGCCTGATAATATATTCCAGCAACATACATTTTAAGTACAAATTAATAAAATCTACCGATGTATTTGTTTATTTGTGAGCAAATGCATTTAAAAAATATTCGCTATTCTTCACGCTGATATAAAGTTAATAATATTTTGCTTATAATTTTAATGAAAATCTTGTCGAACAAATCAAACTCGAGAATAACATACATGTATAGCTTACGCGGGTAGTACACATTTAAAGAAAATGCTTTTAACGGTTAAACTGAATAAATTAGTTAAACTATAGATGACAGTAAATAAAATATAAGTTTTACTTATATATTCACATTTACACCGGTTTCTTATTTAAACACTGATCATGCTTTTAGGAATTGAATAAAAGGCGTCTTATAATAACACTCTTTCAAGATTTCAAAACCACGTACCATGCTCTACAAGTCCAAGGAGGACAATTAAGTAGAAGCCAGCCCGCTTCATGTCGATTCGTTTCAGCAACTGCACCCCGTTTGCATTCAGGGTAGCATGTCCTAAATCCAACGTTCTCTATTCATTGTGCCATCTGATTAACAGAGGAAGTCCCTCATTGCTCGACGGATACACTCAATTCAGATCGTTATGTGATTTAACGGGATTTAGTCCATAGGTATTTCAAAGGTGTACAATAAGTAAATCATTGATATTAAGATTCCATAGAACAGATAAATATCAAGCAATTTAGGAAACTTAATTCTACTGACTAAAACATACAATTAACTAATTCAGTAAATAAAAGAATGTTTAATTGTAATACGTCAGAAAATTCCGATTCTTCATTTGTTTAACTATCTAGGCCAGAAGCACTATTCCGGAACCAAACATAAACAACATAAAAAGATAACTACGTCTACATATAATTGAAATATGGGAGAAAAATAAAAGAGACCATCAAGAAACTATTTTTTAATAAATACTCTCATACAAACACAACAATAACATATTGTAACGGATTATTAAACTAATTTACATTGTACGGCGAACACATTAACTGGTCGTGATTCACTAATACTATTTACAGGGCTCTGGTAATTAACACTGATACACAATGAACACATTAACGCCAAATCGGCTAACTGGTGTTAATTATTCAAATGTAGACGTAACAGGAGAATTTAACGTGAAAGGGCTCAAATATAGCTTAGTCTAACTCGCAAAGTTTAGCTCAAATATTGCATATGCAAACTATAGGCTAACAGTTTTCGAGGCATTTGCAAAAACATTTTGGATGTACACATAACGTGTCTGTATCGTAGATGAAAATAAACATGTTTTCTGCCTTCATTTGTTTTTTCTAAGGTGTCTTATATGCAACCACAGATTATTAACTGGATAAGACAAAGCTTTGAAAATATCTGAATAAATGTAACTTTGTATTTGAGCGAAACATGTGTAACAGTAACAGTTTACTAATCGTTTGCATGTGTGTGCCTTGGTAGCTTTTACTAGCTATTTCAAACGATCCCTAGGTTTTCTTGTCGTGTTTATGTCACATATCTAAAACCGTAACAGTGCGAGGGTTAGAAGCATCAGTGCCGTGGCTCCTACGGGCACGGAGGCCGAATTACAGCCGTCTTCAAGACACGAACACACCTCCTGTCTGCCACCGAAGCCAGATCGCTGATAGCAACGACCCTGAAACAATTGATCTTGACAATGACTTGACAAAGACAAATGAATTAGTGATGGATTTTTCCTATTGTATAAGCGGTCTTCATTCTCTATATCTGTCTGTTTTTACAGGTTCCACCGTTCCAGTACACTGTCAAAGATCATAAATGTTTGTATGTTGGCATGTTTCTTTACGCTAACCAACTCTATCTTATAATACATGCTACTAGTCTTAATATAGAGATAACTGTCTATTTTATTTTTTTCTTTTTTTTTCTGAAATTGATTTGATTAAAATTACTAAAGAACCCAAATAATGAACCATTTTTTGCATGTAAGAGGAGAACGTACAAGCACTCTTGGAAAAACAAGCTTTGAAGTCCACTAGGGTTTCGTTTACCCATTTGTTTTTAAAAAAGCTAACAAACCACACACCTTATAACTACTGTCATCCCAGCCGCAACCTCTAATGACACGGCTGTCTGGTGGCATGCCGTTCATCTCGAACTCCACCACCTGGGATATCTTTCTGCACATCGTGTCCTTGGGACCGCAGGGTAGCCTTAGGGAGTCAGGCAGTTTGTCCATTAAGCAACGAGAGTCATTGTGACTGTTGCATTGGTAACAGGTTATTGCTAAGCCTGAAAAGATAAATGTGAACTGAAAACTATTTTTAATATTGTAAGAAAAATATCTTACAGGCATTACTCGAATCCACGACCCGTTTGTGTTGTGATATCATTCTAATATGGCTTATAATGATATCACAAAAAATATTGTAAAGTATTGGTTGTAGTTAATATAACTTGAAATATGTACTGTGAACGGTTTAAAACGTAAGATTTACGAGTAGGTAACTCCGATCCGAAAATATCCGAGACGTCGGGTCGTCAAGTTAAAAATATTGTAACGTAAATATTTTGAGTTTTAAGCAGTGCAGTGTATTTAACATACAAAACGATAACGATACAAATATAACTCAAATAACGTAGTAATCCAGTAAAAGTGAGGCCAATATATATAAAATCTGAGTGCATGAATGCAATGCAGGTCATAAATAGTTATTAACCAATAACTTCAATTCGTTCCAATTCATAAAAGTGAGACAATCAAGAATAATAAAACGTATTTACGTACGTTTTATATACATTACATTTTTTCATATATGTACCTACATATTATGTTTCCTTTGACCTTGACATGTATCAGAAAATGGCGACCGCGAATCATAAAATACAAATCTAAAATTATTTTAGATACGGACATGTTAGTAGTACTTTTGTTTAGAGCAATGGCGTGACTACATGCAGAGCTTTTGGTGTTCCAGGTTCGAATGTAGCTTTGGTAAACAGGTGAATAAAGTATGTCACAAATATTGTTACTGCGATTGTAAAAAACAGCGATCTCTTCCAGACAACCTAAAGTGAAGGGGAAAAAAGGGACTATAGGTAGCTGTTATATTAATATAAGTAACATAATAAGTGCTTGTCCTTTTCATCACCACTTCTTGTCTACATTGGATATACAAAATACATCGGATGTATCCGATTATCTTCGTGCAGTACGGGGCGTAGACATTTCAGTGCTCGTTCACTGGTCGGGTTTTTTAGAGGCAAGGTGATCAGACTTCTGTGCCCTAGCCTACGGAAACAATTTATTTCCCCGGGACTCAAACCTTTCGCGGTAAACGCAATACACGACACGTTTAACTATTCAGCTACGGAGACAGTCAAACATTCGCTTATGTGTGAATATTTATTCTATAATGGAGTGACCATTTTTCCAAAAAAGGTGTAAGGTCTGTTTTAATTTTGTAATAATTTTCGTCGTAGGCACACAAACTTTTGTGAAACTGTTCCGTGCCAAAAGCGTGAAACTAAAAATTCCTAACTACATTATATCTCATATCATTTAATACGAAGTAAATTGAACTAATTACAGATGATTTCGTCCTTGCGGAAAAGTATTTTGAACTCAAAGGATATTTGACTCGGGCACAGCTTATAGTCACTTCGAAAAGCACAAACCTTGCTGCAGCACGCTGCATAGGACAGCTAGAACGCACCACTCGGTAACTCCCATGTCGGAATCAGGAAAAAACCAGATCGCACCGCCGAAGACCGCGCGGCCCGTGGTCTAACTAAGACTGAACAACCCGAGCGCGTACCTACCTTTACAAGTAAATCGGGCACTTATTCAATTGCCATAAGGAAATTGCTTGATATATTTTTCATGTTTCAAAACTAGATCCTGGATTGATTCCTGTAATGATGTCATGTGTATACTAGCGTTTGTACGTGGGTATGTACACTGCATTTTTTATGTGGAACGAGGCTGTTATCTTGGGGTCGCTGCCGGTAACCAAGCCCTATAACCGATTATGATGTGCTGCCGATTTTGAAAGTTTTTTTTGTCAATAGAGGAGGACTGACAAGAATGGGATTCGCTTGATGGGAGGTGAAATACCCCTATATAAAAAGCCCAAAGCAACAACACATCTTGTGAAGATTTTATACGGCTGGAGATTTCACCTCCCATCTAATTAACCTCATGTTTTTTTATACTCTCTTATCATTAAACAAAACAACTTTAAATAGAGTATTGTATTTTTTTTATTTATTGGTGCTTAAATACTGTCTGTACTTGACTCGAGTAGTACACATTTAAATAAAACACTTTAACGGTTTAAAACGCGATATATTTTAGTTAAACTTTTTTTTAGAATTGAGGGGAGTCTCCCGGTGACCATGGCTGCTGCAAAGCATCCGAAACGGCGGGCCGTATTAATAATTCTCTAAAAAGTTTCTTATCTATATTATATCGTGTTTTATTTAAATTGGTACTTAGTTAATTTAACTTTTCACAATGTTAGTACTAAATATTATATTGGTAAACATAACAAACTGAGGACGGTCGATCGACTAGATTAAGACAAATTAAGTGTGTACATATATATTTTTGTGAACGTGTCAATACGCCTCGACCACTAATAGCATTGTTATTGTCTGACCTTCCAAATTGGACGACATTTGCTCCGTTTTACAGTTAAGTAGATTATTTGACAATGAGCATTAAAGTTCGTCTATTGTTAAGTACTATTTATACACATAATATGTAAACTATGTATTTATCATCAACTATGTATCTTTATACTTAATTTCAAGATTCAAAATTTCAAAACAATTGCTTTGAACATACGTAGACATTTGAAAGCATATTTATCACATGCATTTAAAAAAAAGTTATCAGCGTGGGTAATTCTGTATTAATTAACACTTTTCAAATTTATTATCAAATCATACGAGTAGAGCATAACACAACGTATTTCAACGTTTTCGTTTACTAAAATTGTGTGTGTATTGACATAACTAAAATGGGGACTTTTTACCAACATTTGAGATACATTTTAGACAGATGTAGTTGTAATACATAGTAGTTATAGACAAACATATTTTAAAATAGAAGATTCCTTAGGATACTCTGAGTCGGTACCTACCTGGGTAACTGGCATTAGTGGTAATCAGGTAGGCTCTGTAACAAAGAGCGACAGGAGGAGGGGACTGGCTTCCTGCAATTTTCTCTATCTCGTGTCAAGTGCACATTTCCGCGCTAGATACGGTCACATGTCAGGATTAGGGCTGCCAGATAAAAAAGAAAATAAAACTCTATGAAGACCTTAGGGAATCCTTTTCATTGAGTATACGATGGCAGCCATCGGGTCTCAGCCATAAGTCCAAGAATTAATACACACATCAAATGTTGGTTGCAGCAGCAAAAAGTAAGAAAAAAAGAAGTAAAACAGAGTAAGCAGAGACTCTTTTAAGTTACTCCGAATCAATTCTTTTATTCTATATATAAGGATATCCTACACGTTATAGTGGAGAAACTATAATTATATGTAGGTAGTTTGTGGTTAGTCGGTAGCTTTTATTCAGGTTTTTTTGTAGAAAAAAGAAAAACAAAAAACAGATATCGTGTTTTATGATTTCACTAATCTATTCAGAATCTCTACCATCAACATGTAGAGTATGAAATGTCATTCTATAAGTAAATGTTGTCTGTACGTCAGTATGCAAAAACTGAGAAATATTATTTATCCCAGGCTTTCGTCGGTTGAATTCTAATGAATTTGCTGTCTAATAGAAGTTTTACCAATTTCTTTGATCCCTATCTTCTAAAATTTAAAAGTACTATAAGAAGTTATTCTTATCAAAGGGGCGCGTGCTTGGCCGTTTTTATTTTTATCGTATAGTAACAACACAAATGTAAAACTGTAAGGGGATCAGTAATACCGCAGTCACCAAGTCAAAATATAGACAACGCGTGACCTAGGAATGATTGAAGAGTTCCCTTATCTTCTTAAGTGTCTACTTACTCCTAGGAAGATCAATGGTGCATGGACAAATCGAACTAAACGAGAACTAGGTCTTAAAATTATACATCACGATTAATATAGATACAATTTTATAAATACCTTAATAGTAGATATGCTACGAGTTAACAGTGACAAGTTCTGCAGGGTTCGAATCTGGGGATTACATTGTCTTGCTCAGACGAAAGTTTTTTATACTATATACTAAATCATAACGCCAATAAACACAAAGTTTGTTATTAATATTTTAAAAACTCTAATAAATTACAATGAAAATGAATGAATAAATATTTTTTTAAATTCTTCATTATAATATCAAATGTAATAACTAAAATGATATTTTTTCCGTCTACATTAGTATAGGCCATATAAAGGAAATCATGACTTAGAAAGTATAAAACGATAGTTTTACTTCTTTATCAGATTACGGTTTCAATTGTACTATTACATATTCGATTAAAATATATAAATTTTACAGTACTAAGTTATGTTGATTAAAAATGTTTCTTATTGTTTAGCGAAGTCGAAATTCATTACGAGCTAATATAAAAATTTAGGGAATTAAAAGATTATATAAAAACAAAAACATCGTTGTTATATCGTTACTTATAAGTATGTAGATCTTATTTTACAAACAATTTAATATTTTGGCCAGAGGTCAAAAATTACCTATATGTAATATTCTTGAATCAATATCAAACCTAAACCTTTTCTACACGTTCTATATAAAAGAGAATGTAACAAAAGGACAAGCCAGCAACCGGAACTCCGTATCACCTGAGTACATGACCACAGATTAAATTAAACCAAGCCTTTATTAATGTTTCCTTTGCATGTCCTTTCTAGACCGACTTAGCAAACCGAAATGATCTAGTTTCCCTTTGTATTATGTCTAGTTATAAACTGCTGGAGTTCAAAATATACTAACAGTGCGACTTTGGCTGGCTAGACGGCTTATAAATTCAATGAGACCTAAAAAATTAAATATAAAAAATACGCCTGCAAAAAGAAATAGCTATTTTACTTGTGTACTTATTGAGTTCGAATTTCATTTAGGCGTAATGGCGGTTCAAAATTGTTGTCTGGGATTTAATTGCTTTATTTGTGGTGTTTTTCTTCTGTTACTTTTTAGTACATGTAAGTAATTATTGCTACCAATTAACAATTAATTAATTAACAATTACCAATTAAAGCTTAACAGTAAACACGAATGATAATATTATATTTATTAGTTATTAAATAGTTTACATTAAGTTCCGGTAGGGGCGCTGGTGAAATCGTCCAACTAAATCTTTAGTTTCAAAAAACAGGAGACCGTAAACATATTTTTATGACCTTTTTTTATAAGTAATTTGATTTGAAAAACCGTAATTTTTGCTCGCATATTCCATGTAAATATAATATGTAACTTAACTTAAATTATTTTGTATGTTTTTCCTTTGTTCATTTTAAGACAAAGTATCCGTTTTGCTCAAAAAAGTCAATGTCCTCAAGAATTCAAGATCCAGACGTTATTATTGAAGTAAATTTATTTTATTGAAAACGGACGTGTACTCGAATTATGTGCTGGACCATAAATCAACACTACCGGTTCAAACTCTGCTTTTCCTGATACGGGCAAAGTTTAAATCAATCCCCCATACTCAGAAAACTTAGACTCGCTTTAATATTCATAACATAAGACTAATTCGGGTTAGATCTGATGAAAAGATGTATTTTATATGTATACATATTGATAAAAGTAGGACTAGACTGCCTTATATGATAATCTAAAATTTTTAATATTAGCGTCAAAACTTCGAGTATATTAGCCGACCTTTGTTTTGTTTGTATGTTTGCGCAATTATGTTAATATCTGAGTATGGCAAACTATTCTTGAACCGTTTTGGGTTATTTTTTGTTGTTTAGTTGAAAAATATTATAGAAAAATTATAAAGTACGTATTATTAGGTACATCTTTATTTAACTAATTCCAACTACGTGATAAGTAAATTTAATTGAAGTCGGTTAACTAAAAAATAATTTTATAATATCCTTAATAATTTTATTAGTGCTTGAAGTAAGTATTTAATTTGTGTATGTGCTGTGCCACTAATACAAATATTAAAGGAAAATTTGGAGTTTTTTTTTTAATTTTCACGTTTTAATTTTAATTTGAGTCTAAGTCCTGTACCTTTGTTATTACTTAATAATGTAGGATTTTTAAGTATATTTTAATAACATCGAGTAGATTTGCGTGACCTTATCATTTATGGCAAACGTCTAACACCGTGTTTCATATACATGATTACATAGCATAGGATAGTATAGGTCACACGTTGACAATTAACACCAATCTTTACTGAGAAATAATAAAAAAGATGGAATTGAGGTAATATGTAGACTTATGTATATTGTCAGTAATTGTTAATTATAATACTGTTATATGTATATACGCCTTTATCTTTTTTGTCTCAACATGCTGATATAAAATGTATTGTTTGTTATTACGAAAAGTCTTAGTTTTATTATTATATATAAGTATACTAAAAGTCTTACACAAGATATTTGTCACTAAACCGCTTAGCATTGTTTTTTTTTAGATTAGCTTTCGAATTTCGTGAGAGTTAATTAAGAATTAAGAATTTTAAAAAACATTCATATTGTGTAAAATGATGTATACCTTTTTTTAATATTAAACGAATTCTCCAAGTCGACAAGTATAAATGCAGAACATTACAATACGGGCTTCTATCATGTTTAATTCATTTAATTAAACTCAGGGCAAAGTTTAAGAATCACAAAGTTTATCACTACAGCAATGCAAGTACTTACACTTACTTACAGTATCATTTACTAGTGATATGTCATCAGCAAAAAATCTTAAAGTATTATAGCTTGGTGTAGCTAAGCTGTTGCAGTAGTTACAGCTTAACATGACCGACTTTCATTGTTAAGCTTTATTTTACAAAATAAGGATGTTTATTGTGGACTAATGGCTTTATTGAGGCCTACAGCTCAGTCACTCGCTGGCCGGTGTCCACTCTCAACTTTATCGGAAACAAGTAAAAAGTTCCCGCCATTTTGCTCGTCGAAATGTTATTCAATATTTTATCTGTGGTTATTTTATTTGCGTTTGTTGAAATCGGTGAGTTAAGCTCTGTTTATCGAAAGATGAATTAAAAAAAACACAAGATTTAGAATTTAATTCTTGATAATAAGCTAAGGTGGTAATGTTGAAACGAAATGAGGATATTATAGTTGGATAATAAATAAAAGATATAAATTAACCCTCGCGTAGTTTTAATCGTTAGTTTAATAAGTGTTTAAAAATATTAATGAAGAAAACAGTTTAAAATATAATAAAAAAACAATGATGATCACAAAGTCTCTCCCGACTTACAACAAATGGACTAGGCAGATGTAAAAAGCCGCTGATAATGTAACGTAAATTACTTTTTTATATTTAACTTTTTCTTTTCTTGTTTTAGGTTCAGCGATTAGCTGCTATGAATGCAACAGCGCTAACAACTCTATGTGTCTGGAGCCGAACATTTATGATAAGGAGAGCGTGCATAGGTATCTGAAGACGACAAATTGCGACACCAAGATGCCCAGGGCTCAGGTCAATGGAAAGATGTTTTGCAGGAAGATAATACAGACTAGTGAGTTCATATGTTGTATTTAATAGGGGTATGAGGTCTAGGCCTTGATAACCGGTTGGTCATGAAGAATTGTAGTGTTTAACGATGACATGCTGTAAGGATTTTTTACTCGATTAGTTTTACTTTCGGTGTTGTTATGTGGTATACCGTATGTTCAAATAAAGAGAATATGAAATAGTAGTCTGTAGTCTATGCAAGCAGTAAACATTTAAATAAAACACTTTAACGGTTTAAGACGTGATATATATATAGGCAGTAGGTAAAATAATTTCCAAATAAGTTTAAATAATATTTATCACGTTTTAAACCGTTAAAGGGTTTTATTTAAAAAAATAATTTTTTGGAAATTGGTTTTTTTTTTTTTTGTCATTATTTATTAATTATTAATCATTATCATTAACAATCATTTTAATTTTCAGTTCTCCATAAAGGACATGATGCTGAAGTGCGCGTGACGCGAGGTTGTGGCTGGGTGAAACACCACAGGGACTGCTACAAAGCTGACAACGACGACCATCTCGAGACTGTCTGTCAGTGTTTTACAGACGACTGCAATTCAGCAATAATCAACACTGCGACTTTGTTGATACCGATCTCTGTTATTCGACTGTTTATTTGATAAAGTATTTAAAGAAGTTATGCTAATAAATGTGAAGAACAAAATTTTAAACTGTGTTTTAGATTAGTTTCATTGCTGAGAAGTATGCAAAGTATCGTTTATTTTGAATAAGACTTTTGTGAAATATACTGTTTCAACACATTCGTAAACTTTTGGAAGGCATAGACTAATCGATAAAGAATCGAACAGAGCTTAAATATCCCAGCCATATAACATCTATAAAAGGTGCGTCTAGAAAAAATGCTCTGTCAGCCATCTTGGCTGTTAGATATTCTCAAATCGAAAGACTGATACCGAAACGCGATTGAACTTCCGATATTCCTACCAACCCTTTAATAAAATACTGTCTATAGTTTACGAGAGTAGTACACATGTTAAATAAAACACTTTAACGGTTTAAAACGCGATAATTAGTTAAACTTATTTGGAAATGATTTTTAACTTCGGCCCGACGTTTCGGATGCTTTGAAGAAGCGGTCTCCCCGTACCACGCTCTAAAAAGTTTAACTACATATATTGCGTTTTAAACCGTAAAAGTGTTTTATTTAAACCCCTTAATATCCAAATTTCCAGACGAAGTCCAACATGTTTTAGAAAAATTATGAATTGAATAGAAGAATGTTGGACCCGAAACGATCTTCGAAGTCAGGACTCATTATGTGTTCCATTAGTTCGTCTTTTGGGAGACACAATATGTCGATACCAGAAAAAGGAAAACGTAGGTGTTAAAAGACAGGTAACGAGCCATTTCAATGTAATACTACATATTAGCATTACAATACAAACTATTTTATCCTGGTGCTATATATGAACATTACAAATTTGTATCTTTTTTAATTGTCGTTTTGAAATATGTTTAGTTTGAAATTTTATGAGTTATAACTTTTCAGTGTCATTTCTCCATTTTAGTGTAGCGTTTTAATCGTCTCATTTAAATAACAGACTCCAAAATGTGGGTAAAACGGAGAAATTTTGGCGTCGTAAATTAAAATTGATGTTCAAAATACATCATTAATGTATCGCAAAGTATTCTTACGTGTACAAGGACAATACATTAATATCGCACTGAAAAACACAACCTCTTTGTACTTTGTTAATTGGCTAAGGGGTGTTACAAATAGATAAATGCTTAGACAATTAATGGTTTAACCTCTACACCATTTATTTAACTAGGTCTGATTGAAAAACGATAGTGACGCACTAGCTAAAAGTTTTAGCCTCGAAGGAAAAATATTTATATCATTGCTGCCATTAAAAAAAACGCACTTGTTACCGAATGTTTAACTGTACCTAGTTTTGCACTTCATTTTAACAAATAAGGCAAGGTATAACAAAAATACTTACGAACAAATGTGACTTCTATTTTACTTGTGTGTTAAAACTATAGAGCTCAAAATCTCACTTTTGGATACATTTGTTTTGACAACAATCAACCTACAATTGAACATTGTATTAGTTAAAACTGATGGTTTATCCCATTCCGCTAATTCGCTGTAACAATCCACCATGACCTATTGTGTAACAAATGACAATAGAGCTATCATAGATGTCGTTATGGTCAATGGTTATTTTGAACAGTACATATACATTATATTGAACAAAGGTGCATTAGTCGTCCGTGGCTCAATTGTTTAGTTAGCATTTATCCCAAGAGGTCCTGGATCTATCTTGCAATATTACAAAAAGCGAACGATTTTGTAGCAGGGCAAAGAATGCTGTCCTCACGATAAAAAATGGTGAGACAGACACAAATTCTGCCCCAAACCCTCTATAAATAAATAGTAGAGTATTATTAACTTGTCTGGGGAATAAGGATGTTATTCCACCTGATAAACCGTCATATTCTTGAGGTTCCTTCTCACAGCTCCAATTTCCAAGGTAAATCTTTTCAAATTACTGCGATCAGACTATGGAACGCCTTACCCGTTTCCATACGCATGGCTCCTTCTCTCCCATCATTTAAACGGCTGCTTTATAAACATTTCCTGTCATCTGAGTAAAGTCACTATCTATTTATTTTAAATATATTTAGTCCCTTCGTTTAAGTTAGTAAACATGTAACCTTTTTAGATCTGTATGTTTTTATTTTAAGTTCTGTGTTTTTTTTTGTTTATGATATACTGTTAGAATTAGTATTTGTTTCGCCTACCTTGCACATCTCATTTTCTTTACCATTTTAAAACTTTGGTTGCCTGGAAGAGACGCTGTTACCCCCATGTCAGTTAGGTTTAATTTGTAATATTTTATTTTTTTTTCAATAAAGAATATATAAATAAATAATAAATAAAGGTCATTTAATCCTTTAAATATGGACTAATGTTTACTTCTTGACAGCGTCTTCAATAACTCCTAAACTAGAGTACGAGTATAACAATCGGTTATGTTTGTGATTTATCACAACCTTTAGTACATAATTAATTAAAGTATAAAAAGTCTTTAAAACTTTGATAGTTGTATAATGATACGTAATTTTGCTACTTAACATAAGTCAGGTTGGCCGAGTGGTCTAAGGCGCCAGATTTAAGCTCTGGTTCCCGAGAGGGAGCGTGGGTTCGAACCCCACACCTGACAAACTTTTTTTACTTTTTTTGGTTATTATACAACATATTTAACGTCCATTTTTCAAAAATCATACCCTATTTAAATTAATGGACGCGTCAATTTTTTTTCGATAATCATGAAATTTTTTTTAATTAATTTGTTTGTAGCCAAGTCAAACTTATCCACTCCATGTAACACTTATGTATGTCCGTAAGTATTATTATAGTAGGTAGGTATTAACGAAATATGTATATTTTTTATTATTATTATTTTGATTAATAAGTAATATTAAGATAAATATTATTTTTTACACTACCTTAAAAAGTTTATGGTCCAAATATTGTGGTATCGTATGTATACACCATCGTTTGGGACAATAAGACTGAAGATATGATTAGCTTGCTCCATCCTATTACTATTAACGAAATTTAAAGAATCAAGAAGATGTTATCCTTTAAATTAATAATAATAACAATGAAGCCTTGTTTTTATTTATTTTAATAAAATAATATAAAATTACAGATTACCCACTTTTAGGTATGTCCAAAAGTGTGTAATATTTTGAATTATGCAAACACCAATACTATCTGCAGATGTTACTGCGCAGTACTTTTATCTAATTCCTGTAAACAGATAATATGTTCAAGTACGCTTACATGGAGAAAATTTCCATTATTTATCTAGCTCCCTCTAGAAAATACCAAGCACTACACTACTAAACTTATATTTAACCTTTATGCTACATATAAATAGGGCTCAAAATTAAACACCCAAACTAATGGCGAAACGCACACAAATAAAGTAATGTTTAAATAGAAAATGTAATACAACGTAGACTATTTACTTTAATTTTATATTGCACACATATGTCCATTTTACACAAACATGCAAGTTGTGTTTTGATGAATTGAACATATACGAGTAACTATGTAGCAACATAGTATGTTACTTAGGTCTCTGGTAAGAAATGAAATCAAAAATAATTCCCTCATAAATTTTTTTTCTCTTTCAAACTGCCACTAGTAAACCTAAAGAGGGTTAAAACTCATTGTCGCCTAAAATAAACAAGATAAAAGTCAATTAAATATCTATTATAAATGGAAAACCATTTTCGATCCGGGCAGGATTTGAACCGGCAACCACAGCGTGCTGTTGTTCTTTTTTTTTTAATTTGTAATCGATTTAAATTCGTATAGTGCCATAATGCGTTGTCAAAGAAAAATAGTAGCAACATACATCGTATTTCAACGTTTATTGAATTTCACAATTGCTATTTTACTATTACGCAACGAGATGCTAATAGGACTTCCGTGAATCACCATTTACCGTAGATGTGACGTCAGTTCAGGAAATTACCGGTAAATTCTTGGAAACTTGGTAGCTGCACAGTACAAGGTCACTGTCTCATCGTTTCGAGCCAACAAAGCAAGCTGTGTTAATAACGCATAAATGCAATATAGTGTAGTTATTTGTTATATTTGATTAATTATTTATTTAAATGTGCACTACGCGCGTAGTATTTAGCAGTTAACAAAATCAAATTCAAATCTTTCGTTGCACGACCAAAAAAAAAAAGAAATTATATACGCTATCAATTTTATTTAACTATAAACGGTGTTTTTATATATCTTCATATCTGTAACAAATAACTAATTTTAATTTAAGTTTCCTAATTTTTTCTAAAGTACAAAAATAAACATCTAGTCTAGGATCAAAATTATAGAAGTCCCACTATTTTGCTTAGTCCCAAGCTGTTACAAAAATATCATTACATTACAATATGCAAATACTGTACCGTTAAATAGATCTGTGTAATAACTAGTTTTCACACGTATTAAGAAGCGTACAAACGGTAAGAAGATAAGAAGCGCCTATAGTAATCTATCAACTTTGTTTTAATCTTATCTTGTTTTTATGTTTTACCAAAATAAATACCATTTTGACATCCCCAGATACATATCACGTTTTCACACCACGTGATGACCATCGAACCAGTCTGTGTCAAAATTTGTCAATCCGTTAAGACATAAAATAATGTTATATTGTTTTACAAGGTACAGGTAATGGCCACGGTAGCAGGGAAACGCTAGATTCAACTAGCGAACGACCTGACGAAGAATTATTTAATTCTTAATTTATGAATATTTCGAGCAGTCGAGGAGCTCTCCTGATGATGCCGTCCGCTCGTGATGGCGAACGTCGAGAACCTCTTCTCGCTCACGTCGGCCGAATAGCCCGATAAACAAACATATGCTGAACGAGTACCGTGAAAGCCATTCATAATTTATTAGTATTGATTTTATATTTTAATTTAGATATTATCTTTGCTTAAAATCTCTTCTGTAAGTTCTTATACTAAGTCCACTATACCAGTAACTTCAACTTCTATTGCTTATTAATGCATCTTCTCAATTTGTTCTAGAAAATACCGGAGCAAACTAATTTAACAAGGGCTTGGAAAATTCTGCCTAATTCGATTTACCGATGACGTCAGACATGAATCGCGTGACACAACTGCGACGTTTAACCTAGCGAAAGATATTGCTAATGAATTTAGTCGATCCTTAACATCCATGTACTGATTATAAATAAGAGCTAAGGTTTCTTTTTCTGGGCTATTCTTTGGTTTTATAGTATTATTTTTATTTATCATTATTCGAAAATTATTAGAAATATAATAATAATTACGACGTAAGCGAAACCACAGGTAAAGACTAGTAACAATTTTTCAAGCAATACATCAATTTTATGTTATCTAAGAGATTTGAAATAGCTGTTATCAAATCATTCGCTGGAAATCCCGGTTCCATTCAAAGGTTATATTTAACATGAGAGATACTGAGTTTACACATTTTTACGAGAGTAAAATTAAAAATAATACAATTACACATTTTTACGAGAGTAAAATTAAAAAATAATACAATTACAGTTGACGGGCTCGTCTGTGTAATGATAGCAAGGACGGCAAACAATCAACGGGTCGAAGTTCGATCCCCACCGGGTCCAGTTTCTAATAAATCTGAAACATTTTGCACTTCGTTTGGAAATCTAGCTATTTAATGGGTGGATTTACGAATTTCTAAAAGCTAAAATAGATCGACAGCGCGTCTTGTTTAGATATTGTATGACTTCCATCCAGCGAGCTTCTATGCTTGCACTATCATAAAAAAAAGTAAAACCTAATTGTCATTTTAAATCTAAACTAATAACTACGGTAAATCCTTATGTTTGTTTATTTTATGACAGCTGTTGGCTGCGTACCCATTAAACGCATGTGTGTGTGTACCATTGATAATGTTTTCGTGTGTGAGTTTTGTTTTGACGCGATAGGTTTTAGCTTATTTCATAAGAGATGAGCGGCTTATGACTTCAAAATATATCATATTTAGTATTTTATAAATTATACTGATGTTTTAAAAGTAAAGTATCGTTTATAAGTTTCCGGCATTTTTCCAACAACTAATTATCATCTGTGAATAATACTTTGTCTCAATTGCGGAGTTATTGCTTACTATAATCATCTAATATTTTATTTGAAAACTTCCAACACGGCACAATGTATTAAGTAGGTCGGTTAGTATCAGCACATATACAACCAACCCGGCTAGTTTGATCTTTTAAAACTCGTAAAATGCCAAATCTCATATTGTTTAAACACAAACCTCAGGACCCAACATCGCTCCGCTCATGAAATACAAACACACACACGTGCTAAACACGCAAACACGTGTGAACCACTCACACGAGAATGCGAATGACGCACGGAAGAGGGGCGGGGGGGGTGTCCACGAAACGGGCGGTTTATATACCTCGTTTCAACGTAATCTCGTCATTTCAGTTCGAAAAGTACACAAAGCTACAACACCCTTGGGGACGAATTCGCAATTCGCTATGGGTATGTTTGTTTTTATTTATTTTTTACGTCACTCAGATATCGCTCGACCTTCGATTGTTTAAAATAAATGACTTGTGAATATTTGCGGGTATTCTCAATTTTTATTTACTTGTTATCATCGACTTTACACTCAAATTATGGCGTACTACTTAATTTCAAGTCCTATTTTTAGTTTTGCTTTACGTTTTGATTACTAGGTTAATTACTAGTCCAAAAAAACTTGAATGCAGAAAAAAATATTGTCGATGTTTGTGATAACATTGTCAATTGTTTATTTAAGTCTTATAAACAATATATTAGCTGAGTTCAGAAAATATGTATAAAAACATATATGCGGCCTAGATCATTTTAAGTTCACATGGCAATATGAAGCAATGTGTTATTTCCCATGAATCATTTGCAGATTAACTCGTGCAAATATAAAATGTAGTGTAGGAAATTCTCAATCCTCGTAATTACTTTTCCATAATGTAATTTTCAAATATCCTGCTTCATCTGCTAAACAAATTTGTTTAAAGTCCATCCGATCGATGTTGTTTAATTGTACCAGTTAAACAGATTATTAAGTCTTGGTTGGTTCATCGCTGTTAGGTCGATACTGCTATCCCAGGGCATGGGTGCAGTAATGGAATTAGCTATTTATGATCAAAACTTTCCCTGACGCACGAGCCCGAAATAGTAAGAATATTTTCGGATCTCAATTTCGCCGTCTTCATTGCGTTAACGTCAGCAGTTATTTTATAATTTCTCGGAAGATCAGACTTTGGAAAAGGTGATTTTTACATTTAGGGTTGTTCTTTGATCTAATTACAATTAATTAAGTCATTGAGACTGACAGTCATCGATTGTGGAGAAATCCTGATTGCTTTTTTAATACAACAAGATATCTATGGAATAGTTTAGATAATATTAAAATGTAAACCGAGGTATTCTTAAACATACTAAGAAATAAATGGAAAGAATATTTATATCTGTAACCTTACCGTCGTCCGTTTCTTTCCAGATACGTTAAATATAAAACCGTTAAGTAAGGCCATAGAGTGGTCTCCGGAAGCGCCGAACGGCGTGGAGGCTGCTCGGGAGATGGCGGTGCAGCAATCTCCCACTGAAATGGCCTCCACCTCGAGCGAGGAGCGCGCCATTCGCCGCGTTATGGGCCGCTGGGGCGCTGAGTGGTTGAGCTGACTCGGCTCCAGCTACCCTAGACCCTCCGGGCCGCAATGGCCCGCGGAGCACCCCTGCCGCCGCCGCGGTGGGGGGCCCGCGCCCCGCTTTGCACCTCTCCTTGCAACAGTACGAGGATTTGGTTGCTAAAGCTGAGGCGATATTAAGCCGACTAGCTGTCTCAGAGAACTATGACTCCGTTAACAACTTCATCACGCTTTACGACGCTTACATGGCTGCACCCGATGAAACCCTGGCTGAGTTTTTCCCGAAGTACAACCCACCGATTCGCGCCCACAAGCACACTTGTGTCGGTCTAGGAATGGAGACGATGAAACGTCTGAGGGTCCTAGAGAACGACTTTCCTGGCATAACCAAGTCAATGATGCTGGTATCGTGTGACGAAAACATCCAAGATTTGGTGGACTACGCCACGGCGTTCCCTGGACCACAGGGGTTCCTAATTGAGACCGAAAAGGACCACGTGATGCTGTGTATCCATGTTAAAATCTCGGGAAGGCCCGGTGTGTTTCTGTCAGACCTAGGCTACCACGTGTCCCGGGTTGTCACCGTGATGGCGGATAGATGTTATCCACATACAGGTAAGACAATTTGTTACCTTGATGATGAGTGTAGGTAAATGATTTGCAGTCGACATTGAAAGTTATCAGATTACAAAATAACCAATAAATAATGATTTTTCCTTGTACCTCTCTTTTACAAAACAAACAGATAAGAAACAAAGAAGTAAGTAGGTTTACTTATAGGTGATGAAATGCAGCTGTGATACTATTATAAATTAACGATAGTAAATTACGTATGTTAGAAGAATGTTTATAGCTGAAAAACATTAGAGTCTACACATTAGAAAAAGATACATAAGCTAATAATAGCTAATAATGCCTTTCAGGTTGGTTCACACAATCAGACGAACCGCACAGCCGCAAGGATTATAACTACCAGTTCAATCTCCAGAACAACAACTACGTGGAGTGGCACGAGCGTGACACGAGGGGAGCTTCTGTGAAGGAACGGCTTTCGTTGATCTATGTGGCTAAGCCATACCTAACAGCTGTCAGTGTCACAGAGAAGAGGAATCTCGTTTGGGACTTAAGGTACCTTACAGAGAAACAAATTTTGTATTATATTTGTATTTTGCAAAAAAAGCATTTTAAATTCTGATAAAATTTATAGTTAAAGACATCGAAGACGTATTAAACTAAAAAAGATTTCTTTACAGGAGTCTTCTAGCCAGAAACCCGAAAGGCCATCTCACGGCTGGTATCTATTTCCCTGTTAAGGAGAAGGACCAACAATTCACAATGTTCTTCAACGGAACCAACGGCAAGCAAAGAAAGAAACTCAAATTTGAATCCTTCTTAGAGTTGCAGAAGGTAAGATCTTTGATTCTCTAGAGTTAAGTAAAGTCACGGAAGAAAACTTAATTTTCCAGAAATTATTTAAAGGTGAATGTATAATACTATTTAAAAAATAAACTCTTACTTATTTACACATATTAGTAATCAACGGTGACATAGATACGTACACAATTTTTTAAAAAAAATCATGTATGACCTGCTCAATTGAGTTATGTACCATGTTTCTATCGGACTGAATCTTAGAGCCTCTCGTGCTTAGCACAAAGGATGTTGTTTTACGATTGACCCTAGGAGGAGGTTATCATATGCATCAATATATAGTTTGTTTCTTAATTTCCAGATTCCAGACGAATTGGTGGATGACGTAGAGCAGTGTAACGAACAACTCAGGATGAGGGATGGCGAACTCCTCTCCATTCTCAAGAAACTGGCCACCATCATGTCTGACGAGGAGTACATGAAAGAACTCCTAGATATCAACAGCACAATCGTGAAGCTTTCTGCCGGGGAATAATAAAATAGATCTTATACCTAAGTGCCTTAATAGTCGGCTTAATTGGGCAATAAATAGTAGAAAAGTAGAAATGATTTGTTTTATTTCGTCGCTAAATATAATGTAACACTAAACATCGAAGGTGTGGTTATAATAAAATAAGACGAAAAACGTCATAGGAAATTTTAAATAACTTTTTTACTGCAGCCTATTGAAATTGTAAAAAGATGATGACAATGTTATTGAATCAAATCTCAATCTTATCAAAGTCAACAGATAGATATTCATGTTAATAACATTTGAAATGGATTAATGTAATGTCGATTTTATTCACATGCTTCATATTATGTATTTTATATATTAGGTATTTTATTAATTATATCTAAATCAAACAATAAATATACAACAATAACCATAATGATTCTGTTTACAGATAAGTCATTAGACTGCGGATCCCATCGTTGTTTTATAAACATTTCATTATCTTACACGAATAAGTAATATCATTTAGTTGTGGTTGTAATGCGTAATTGTATCTGAAACTGAATTATATTGATTTAATATTATTTAATAGTAGTATGAATACAAACATATCAGGAATGCTCCAATACGGAGAGAAATAGATGGAAAGTAGTGGCAAGTCTCCAGTCGAAAAATTTTTTCAATTTATTTTCGATTTTTAAATTAAAGAAATTAGATGAATCAAAAAGTAATAATTTAATCTTGTGAAAGATAAATATATTATGTACTATATTTTTTATTAATTGATTATATCATTAGATCACCAAATCGTTTTCCCTCCAGCTTTGCTAAGTAACTCCAGTAGGCGTTGTGAAATCAAAGCAGAACCAGAAATTAAAATTAGTAGGGACGTGCAACTGCTTACTTATATTAAAACTAACGACGCGGATATAAAATAAAAGGTATTAACAATGTCAATCTAATTTAGATTCAAACTATCAATCCTGTTTTATTTAATCATTAACTTTTGTTTAAACGCTGATTATATCATAAAAACTCAGTTCTCATACTATACATTTTAAATATTCCTTTAAATCCTTTAAGAATAAGATTTTTCACTTTATACCATTAAAAAGAAAACATAAATAGGCTTTGTATTTATGAGTTTATGGTCCATTATGTTTACGACATAAAAACAGTTTTACGATGCTGAATACCGCGTGGCTACACAGCACAATGGCGGCCGCGTGTCAATCTGTCATGCGCAGAAGAGATGGCGTCTACGTTGCACGTGATGAGAGTAAAATATCGATTTTAACGTTACTGGTCGTCACTAGTATATCAAATTATATTATGTGAAAAGTAACTATTATGATATATGTATAAGATAATTTAGAGTTTTTTTTAATATACTTTTCCTTTACACTATCTGTTCGTATACTTTAAGTCAATAACTGCAAATTTATTATATGACTTTTAAATTGCGGCATAAGCAAACTCTATTATGTTTATATCAGAAAACAATATTTCCTTAAAATTAGAAGATTTTAAATCCCACTTTAATTCTGGATCCAACAGCGAAAACTTTTCAATAGAATAGCTTTCTGATATCTCATATGATAAATTTTTATTGAAGAACCTGTATCGACTATCTGATAGTGAATTCCTTAATTTCCTATCCGAATATGTACTTTTTAAACGATAAAAAATGATTAAATGTAGTAATCCGCTCCTGTAAGTTGTGTTGCGTGAAAAATAACACGCGCGACTATCGCAGCGCACATCACTAGCTCAACGTATAATAAAGCGGTCACGACATGGCACAACAATCAGTTGGTCTTTCGGTGTTGCTAGGACGAGCGTTGTGTCAGGGCGCGGCTTCGGCATCTGTTTTTCTTTTTTTATTTGGCTGCTAGCCGTTGTATGGGTAAGTTATTCTTTCTATTACCCCTTAACATCCATATACATTATTTAACGGTATAATTTTTGCTGCTTTCATACATCAAATTCAATATTTATGTCTCGTGGGACGTAAGTGGTGGCATGCGCACAGATTGTGTTTTTTACTCACGTAGGTATATATACCTACGTGAGAAAGGCTTTGTTTATAAACAAAGCCTTTCAATCCAACAATGTTCTAAATTTTTGACATAATGTTATAATTGAATAGATTTTTAAATATGTATAGATGGATATTATTGTTTTTAACTAGAGGTCAGAAATTAGATGCGATTGTTTCTTATAGATATAAAAAATACGAGTGGAATAAGGTATTTTTCGTTTAAAATAATGAGGATAACGAGAGTTAAATAATTCAAAAGGTGACGAATATTTCTTGTGAAGGATAAAGATGGCGCATTTCTGAGATAATTTCTGTTTAAATTGTAATATTGTGACATTCGATTAAAGTGAAAGTTAAGATATATATTTAATTACACTGTTGCAACGAAGAAAGCCGTTGTTTATCTGGTAAAAAAATTTACTGATAACAACTTTGTTCAATAACTTTGTACGATAATAACTAGGTATGTATTCAAATTGATTCTTCACTGCTTTTTTAAATTATCACTTCTCAACTATAATTAATAAATCGTACTTTTACAATAAACAATGTAATGACTGGTATTAATTATATTGTTTACAGAATATCATCTTTTGTTCACGATATAACAACACAACAGCTGTTAATAATATAGTAAAGATCACGTATAGGTTTTTACGCAAATAACAGTAATCACAAAAGTCATTAAATACGGAGAATAGTTACCTAACATGACGAAAAACGGGTTTCTTTATTATAATTATTATAATGTTAGGATAATTATTATGCTCTATTGACCCACCTTCCACGTAACGAAGGTCCTCATTTCGATTCGTATATATGCTTTTTATGTTTGTTCAGACATCATTTAGTCATTTATGAACAGATTTTGATCATTCCTTTTAAGATTTTTAAAATTTCCTCACAATTTCTCGACTATTAGTAGAGTAAAACTAAAACGAACAGACGACTAGTGCGTTTTTATGTTCTTTCGGTACTTTAGAACACTACAATTTAATAAAAGTTTAGAGTATGTGTTACAATGGAAGAGACAGTGGAAGGAACTCCTCAACGATTCACAGAACTTATGTTGAAGTTTATAGTTATATTGTTAAGAAACAAATCAATAAATTTACTTATCACAAAGTATTAAAATATAGTTAAATAGATATGATAAAAAATTATAATAAGCATAGTTTTGAAGGTAGCAACTAACTAATTTAATTATAAATAAAAAATACAATTATACGACGTGAATTATAAATACAAATTTATCTTTTGGGGCCGCCATTAAACCATTCAAAAAATAACTTTTTTCCTATTAAATCTTTAATATTTTTGTTATAATTGATCAGCAAGTAAAAGAGCTTGATAACAATAGCTGCTGGTCACGACTGATAAGAGACTATGACGTAGAACCCGACATCACACCCACGTGTCGGGGAAACGATTTTTTCGCAAAGGAAAATTCAAGACATATTTGTATGCTAATTAATTGTGCCTTGTTGTGAGGAAATGTACGGAATGCTTGTAGTTCTTACCCAATTTCAATGATAGATTGGTAATAAAAGCAATTCGTTAGGAATTACTGTTATTAAAGCGACCCGAAGTACGCTTTGAATGGCATAGTGAAGTAGTTAGTAAATCCGTAAAAGTATACATTACTTATTTATAATATTAGTAAGGGAGAGATGACTTTTATGTATATACAAAATCCATTTACATCGGGAAAAATTGTAAATGTTCGATTTAGCAGAGCGTACGAAGGCAAAAGGCCAAAGGAATTTCATTTCTTACGCCATCTACATCTTGTTTGCTTATGGTCAGAATTAGTAACAGCTCGCAGCCAACAGCATCATGTCAGACGCATGTCGATTGCTATCTTTGAAAGCGATACTTGAATTGATTTTTTACCAGTGCATACAAAAATAGATTGAATTATGTCTGTGAAATCCCGTTGAAATCCCAGCGAACTTACTCTGTGTTCGTTTTTTATTTACAAGCAAGTAGTTGTCAGACTTCTGTGCCCTGCCGACCGAAGAAATTTATTGCTTCCCTGAGATAGGAAACCAGGATAACTCTCGTGTTTAATGCAATGCTAACCATTTAACTACAGAGGCGGAATTATACATTTCAAATACCTATATCGTATTTCTCAAACGCGATGAGCAAGCATAATGCATTTATTTATTATATTATGTGTTATTCTGTTTATTTGTTACTGAAAGCATTGAAAAAATTGCATTACAAACCCCGAAAAAAATTGTTATTGAAAATTAGGTCATGTAATTTTGAGGTCTTGCCAAGGACTAGCTAACTTGCATTCATCGACAACTTGGCTTAGTCGCAGAAGGCTAAATCATACATTTTCTTATTTTTTTCTTTAAAAATATCTTAGTATTACCGCTGCAAAGCTGTAGATTGAAAAGTATTAATATAGATATGAATGTAGATATGTCCTAAACTAGAAAAGAAAAACTAGAGCACTATAATACGTACCTTTCACCCTTTTCAACGGATGTTATAATGTGTCGGTAATTAAATATAAAATACACTTTAAAATGGCTTAAAAGATCCTTGGATGTACTGTAAATATCGGCAGAACGAATTAAATGCGCAACGGATATAACTATATTATAAACTTTAAACAATCGCGTATTAAATTTGAACCCCAAGTATCAGCTGTTTTTATCATCGAATGAATCGAATAATGTTTTATCACGAAGTGTGATGATAGATTTTTTGATAACAGATAAGAAATTTACCTTACGGATATTAAATATTTATAATTAAGAAAGACTGACCATAACTGCTAATCTATCACACATAATATTAATATTCGTTTACAGACAGACTATCCTAATTAAAAAGTATATCTATCTACATAACTGTTATCGAAGATATTTGGGTTTGAAAAGTAATAAAAAACATCTTGTTTTGTTTCATACTTACGTTCTTATGCAATATATTCTATGACAATCTTTGTCTGTACCAACGCGCAGTATCTGTTGGTACCCACTAAATTGATACAAAATGGCCACGCGATCTAGTTTTGGCAGCACGTTTCATGGCACGAGACCACAAGTAGGCCATTGTGTCATCGGCCTTCCTCACACGTGAGGTAAGGGCACACGACTTGAATACCTTGAGTTGACTACCGTTCGCTTTATTGAGTACGATTATAATGCAACAATATAGTAATTTATACTAATATTATAAAGAGGAAAGATTTGTATTTTTGTATGTAACGGGTAAACTCAAAAAGTACTGGACCGATTTTAATAATTATTTTTTCATTAGAAAGCTACATTATCACTGAGTAACATAGGATTACTATAGATATCTATAGAAATTCTTACTAAAACCAACGGAAGGCGTAAAAAAATTAGCCGTAAAATGTCTTTCTTCGCATACGCTGCGAAAAGTATTTATTATAGGACGAAAAAATGATCGACAATATTATAGAATATATTAATATCTGCAAAAACATCGCGAGAGCAGTCAAACTATTGTAGTTACGTCGCTATAACTACTTTTTTACATTTAACAAATTGATAGAAATGCCGATGAAAATAAGACCGTGTTATCCGTACCATTTATAAATTTATAACCGAAAAAATAATTTGATATTCAAGATGAGACAGTCTTACCTGATGATTACTTTTTAATTATTGAAATCGGGCATTCCATTCAAAAGATATCACGAAGTTAAAATAAAAATGCATGCCGGCGGTGGCCGCCACGCCGCGCATCGAATTCGACGATAGAAGTGGGCGCGAACGACATTGAATATTTCGATTTTTTTTAACATTATTATGCTTCACTTAAAAAGTTCTTTTCAAAGCTAAGTAGCTTTTTAGATTAGTATTAGAAATCACACTTTGCATAATATTTGACAAATTTCTTTTCAGAATTATCGCTTTGAACTTGAATATTTTCTTTTGTATTATTATTAGTTTATTCTTAATTCCTCTGATTTAAAATAAATATCCTTCATAGCAATATGCCTAGAAGAAGAAGGTAGCAGCTATCTAAGAATAGTTCCCAAGCGAGATTAGCAAATTTGTCGTATTGAAGAGTCTTCTCCCTAAAATGATCATCTGGAAAGTATTATAGTGTACGCGTCCCTATCGCAAGCCAGAGAATCTATCGTCGAATGTTCAGGTTCGTTTTGCAGAACAAAATGCTAGTTCGCCTCAGCGACTTGAAGGAAATAGAGCTAGGAATTCGCGAACGCGTCACGGGACTCTAACACTGAACGCTCGCAGCGGCTCCTGACACAGCGTGATAGACAAAGGTCGTTTACAGCTAGGACGCAAATTCATTTTCTTTTCTAATTTAGTGATTCATGGTCGTTTTAATTAGCATGCTTATAATTTTAATATCTGTACTTATTTATGTCTACCCGTGCGAAACCGGGACAGGGCCGCTAGTATACTATATTTTTGGCGCGTAATGCCCACAGATAAATAACACAACAGTGTAATTGTCATACTTTTGGCGCACTTTATATGTAATTGCATAGGTAATCTGTACACCTAGCAGTAGGGCAATACATATTTTGATCTTTTTATAAACTACATTGAGTGGGTTTTGAAAATTTTGCGGAAAAGAAAAGTGAGCATTTTTGTTTATAAAAAATTAATAGACACTGAACAAAAATTCAAAACATTTTACATAAAATATGAGATATTTTAAACATAGATAATTGTCCTAGTTTAATGTGGTTGTGATGAAACACGCTAATTAATTATTAATTAGTTTGCTAATTGATATGGCCTAATTTAACGCAAACTAATTACATACATATATTAATGGATATCAGAAAAAGCATTTATCCCATCTATTTCTTAAATTTGAGTAATTATAATTCTTAGTTACCCAAGTCATAAATATGCTAGCTACTTAAGACAACATAATTACAGAGGTAAAAAAAATCAGATTAATCGAGAAAAAAATTGTCACAATCAATAATATAGTAGTATATAATGTACTTACAGCAGAAATGATTCTCAATGCATTTTAAATACAACTGAAAAAATATACTTATCATCAGCTATTCCTATTGTTTTGTAACGGACTTTGTTATGCCTCAAGCGAGACTTCAGTAAGGAAAACGAGAAAATAACAATGGACTAAGCTATCATTTCGATGTGTTTGGAACAGATGTACGGTGTCAAATGTAACACGAGTATAGGTGATACGATTACTGTAGACGCGAATACGTACTTCATAATACTTACGAACTACACAGAAATTGAAAGGGTAAGATGTAATTCGTGGTTTATTAGTAACTAAGGGACGCTTAGTTAGTGGTAACTATATGTCATTGAGGTACCCACATCGGTTCAGATATAACATTGTAAAGAGGGTGCGATGGATAATCTTCTCCGGTTTTTAAACCAATTCAAACCAGACGAATCTTTAAGCTTTGTAAATTTATAATGTCAGTATATTCTTACGCACAATTTTTTCTTACTATTCCTGTATTTGTGTGAGTCAATTTTAATATTATATGATATGATTTTGCAATGGTGCATATATCCTCATATTATAAGCCTCTGTGAAATGTACTTACTGAAAAGTATTGTATGACTCACCATTTTATGTCAATGTACGCAAATTCGGTCGAAAATCTTCGTTTATTTACTGTCTGAGATTTAAAATATAAAAACAGAACGAATACCTAAAGTTATTTAAAACCATTTTTTTATTACAGTTAAAATTGAATACGTAAAGAGTGGCGTATATATACTTGAAGTATCAGCTTTCCAACATTAGAAATGGCCGTTTATTTCCATCGTTTCAACGTAATACAATTCCATTAACAACGTAGCTATAGTTGTAAAAGGTCAATAAATACGATACACCCACTTTCTACATAAGTACACCCACACTTTGACATTAATGATAGTAGACTATATTAAAGGGTGGACTTTATATTGACACGTATAGTAAGATCAAATTCCAGGTGTTGGTATTGGATCTAGAATTAACTTTTTATTTCGGACTATAATATTTCCTCTGTTTATTTCAAAATGTTATAATTTGTTATTATAAAATCGAGTTAGTATAAATATCATATAATATTATATAAACTGAATTTTCTAATATTAATTTAAATTGATTCATAAATTATATTATAACCTACATTCCGTTATTTTCTTCTAAACGATACGATCATTATTTTATAATCTATGGACACTACAGATAATGTAGACTCTGGCAGTTTCCGAAACGTCATAAATTTGAATTTGGAACATTGCAAGAGCGGGAAACGACCTCCGACGTTCCTGCGGCACGCTGCGGTACTTTGTATGATTCACAACGTGATTGTAATTTGCAAGCGAGTGATTAGTGGCCTTTCGGATACACAAAGAGTTCTTGTTACCGTAATGACTAATGGCTGACGTTACTAACTGTTAAATATAGATACGTCGACAGTCATATCCATTATACATGGTGATTTTTTAGTTAAACGCATCTAAAGTTATAAGGCTATGTAAAACTAATCAATTTTCTTGTTCTCCACTGTAGGGTAATGCATTAGATCAAATTTTAAACGTGAATTCCTAGTCTATGCGGACTTCTTATATAGAAGTTGTTTATAAGGGTAGCGTCTAGATATTCATTAGCTAATAACAATTCTTTTTGGACAATTTACGGAAAATAAACCACTGCGTTTGCCAAAATGTCCTAAATACTTAATATCTTTATAATATATTTGTTATATACTAACGAATATCATATAAAAATATTCAGAAGAAATTCAAAGAAAAAACATAAAGTAACGAATGAAAAGATTTATTTCAATATTACTACGATGATTAAACTATTGTTTCCTGGTTTTAAAATTCAAATTTCTTCGTAAGAGAACTAAAGAGCTCAATAAGTGTAATAAATAATGAAAACACAGAATGAAAAACTTGTAACTTTTTTCTTAAATCTACTTGTACATGTACAGTAAATATACGGGCAGTTTATAATTACGCAAGAAGCCTATTATATCGACGATACTTATTAATATATAATAATAAAGTACACAAATACATAGAATACAAAGTAATTATTCTAAAGGCTGCCTAATTCAAATTCAAAACTTTAATTAGAAATTAAAAGAAATATTCCACCCATGCATTCCAGCCGATCCAGAAGTTTACGAGGCTCTTTAAACTCATTTTGAAGATATAAGAGTAAAAGAAAAAGTTTCAGTTAACGTTTCAACGGACTGATCTTGTTTATATGTGTAATTTCAGGGACTTATACATTAGGTTACGCGGAAGAGAGGAATGTGATCCCAATTCTTCCTTTACGTACCGGGGCCCTTGTTCACCAACCTAGGCTACTGCTTATGTACGACAACTATTATCAATTTAAGTCACATCCTTCTCCGGTGCATGTCTAATAAAATAGTGTAGGAAAATCACCCGAATCTGGTGAAAGGCGGGCTTATGCTCAGCAAAAACACTGGATATATACAACGTTCTAACGCACTAGTTAAAGAGTATGATTCAGTTCAAATATTTAGATGCAGCCTTCCTCTAGATTACATTGATCTAATTTTAAAATATCAGCCCACAAAGGTCGCTGCTTTCACGATAATATCATGATAGATTTATCTTTCAGGTTAATTAATTAAAGTGCCACTAAGGTTACGCGTTCAGGTAATAAATTAAAATAATTAATTAAAAAAAAACTGATTATAATAAATAAGATTTATAGCACATTATTAATTTTATTTTGTATAAAATATTGAGAATCATGAAATGTATTGTGTTAGATAGCACAATTCCTTGGTAACGAAATTACAGCTCAATCTGAACTTCCATATTTTATATTTACGTCACAATTCAGAATAATATTGTTTCAATGAATATCAAAATGATATGTGCATCTATAATGAAGTCTGTATCTGTATGAATGCATCATAACGAGACTTATATACAGCGAAAAGCGCAAATAAACTCTGTCTTATTGTTTTGTTTATACGACCACTCTCATGAATTTCACAAAAAATATTGAACTTGAATTATCATACGATATTTCGATTTGCAGAGCGTGAAAAATCATCAGTAGTGGTGTCAGAGAAGCGTGAGGCGCTCGCTAAGGTCGAAGTAACCAACGAGCGTGTGAGAGAGGATGCCCGGCCCAGCACCAGGGCGGAAGCCGAGCCGGCCGCCCCCGCGGTCGGCCGGTGGGGCGCCGAGTGGCCGAGTTGACTCGCTTCGGTTGCGGGCGAACATGACTCGCCCGACCGGCATTTGACCGCGCCGCTGCCGCCAGAACGGCATGCGATTCAACCGAGTGAACGGCATGTGACGCCGCCGGTGCCCCGGGCACCGCTGCCGCTGTCCAGATGGGCGCAGCCCCGCAAACCGCTCTCGCTCACTCCGACCACCCACGAGGAGCTCGCCACAGAAGCGGAAACCATCCTGCGATCCCTCCTCGTCACAGACAACTACGACTCCGTCAACAACTTCCTCGCTCTCTATGACGAATTCAACAAGACGAGGAGCAGCCTCTTCGATTTGTTTCACAAGTATTCCCCACCTATAAGGAGTAAGAAGCACACGTGCGTAGGCCTTGGCATCGAGCTGATAAGACGGTTGCGGGTTCTGGATAAGAAATTCCGCGGATTCACCGCGGCTATGTCACTGGTGTCCTGCGAGGAGGCGGTGGTGGACGTCCACGATTACGTGACCTGTGGACCGGGTCCTGAAAGCGTAGTAACTGCGGAAAAAGAACATGTCATGGTAGCCATCCAAGTGGTGGTAGATGGTAGGCCAGGCGTGATGCTGGCTGATCCCGGGTACCACGTTCCGAGAATCGTGACTGTAATGTCAGATCGCGCTTATCCTCATACTGGTAAGTTTAAGGAGGTTCCATTTACTTTCAAACCTTTATTTAATATTTATAGTTTACCAGTATACACATTTAAATAAAACACTTAAGTTTAAAAGCGGTATATTAGTTAAATTATTTGAAAATGATTTTTAACTTCGGCCCGAGTTTCGATGCTTTCAGCAGCTGGTCACGAGATAAAGATGGAGGATGTTCAACTCAAAGTAAAAAATTGTACGCTAGCCATCTGTTCCTCAATGGTATTTGGCAAATGGCGGGTCCTTACAGAATTGACTAACGTGTCTTCGCGTTTGCTGGTATGCTGTTTATTGGGATCAGAGTTTTTAATATGGGATCCCAGGTGTTTGATAGTTTGAGGCCGTCCTCTATTGAAATTTCGGTTTTTTTGATTTCAATTTTGCTACAATTTGGAAAAAATGATCTCTCGAGGATTTTTGGTTGGTCAAAAATTAGTGATTGGGCCCTTCTATAGTTTGGCATACCGCAGATTGGAGAGAGTTTATGTTTTATATCCGCGACTGTTCTTTAATTCTTTGTAACAGAATTAAAGAAGAGAATTTTAAAAATTTAAATTCATCTTAGTCTCCCCTACAGGCTGCTCAAAATCCGAAAGTCGGGCGAAGTTAAAAATATTTTCAATAAGTTAATAATATACCGCGTTTTAAACGTTAAAGTGTTTTATTTAAACCTTTTTATTTGTTTTCTATTCACTTGCCTTTTAAATTGAGTACTACAAGTAAATTTATGGTAAACTCTTTTCAATATCCTTAGGTTGGTTTACACAATCTGATGAACCACTCTGTCGGAAGGAGTACGAGTACAGCTTCAATCCCCAAAACCCCTCTTATGTAGAATGGCATGAAAGGGAGACGCGTGGTCCCAACGTTAAGTACCAAACCTCGCTGGTGTACGTCGCCAGGCCATATCTTGATGGAGTCAATGTTACGGAGAGAAGGAACTTGGTCTATAATTTTAGGTAAGTAAAGCGTTTAAGCTTAATTTCTTAGTTGAAAAGGCTTAAAGGGAATAAAGAGGATAACAACTACAATTAAAAATGATTTATCTTTATCAGGAGTCTTCTAGCTCGTGATCAAAAGGGACATCTAAAAGCCGGTCTCTACTTCCCCGTTGGCGGGAAAGGCAAAGATGCCATGTTCACTCTCTTCTTTGACAACGGGGAGAAACGAAAGGCGAAATACAAATTCAGCATATTCTCTGATATTGACGCTGTAAGTAACTATGAAGACTTTTAAGCTATAGTTCAAACTATGACGAACAAAGAAACAAAAAAAAACAATACGGATAAAAATAGCATTCTCTTTGTCTCAAATTAAAGGAGAAACGAAACCATTGTGTTTTAAGTTCTAGGTGGGTTAGTAAATTTATTTGTAGATGATATAAAAACTACTGCATTAATTTCAATGACATTTAGTAATTAATCTCACACGTACATATTAAAAATTGTCTATCTGGTAACAAAATATTACATTATATACATTGCACATAACTAAAACACTCTCACAACCCATTCTCATTATCATAATGACTCTTGCGCAGTGCATCACAAAATTACTTATTGCTTTATAGACAAAACCGAGTCATTTAGTCATCTCGTGACGGAACTATTGTTAAACAAGCTCGTGTAAACAAAGTCCATGTTGATTTAACAAACACGAGTTTCGCGGAATCAGTGAAAATTATGTTTACGAGATAAACAAACAAATAGTATTCAGTAAACAAACAGTATAGACTTAATTAGTAGTCGACTTGTTACATTGTGATAATATTGGCACTTACATAAACATCTACAACATCGGACTATTAATATATGGTTTAGGTTTTCTAAAGCATTTGAGTTTTACTTAACACTACCTGTTGCAGCGACTTCGTCGGTTAAGAATATTTATTTTGGGCATCCAAATTCGTTTTTGAAAAATCTCTTTCTTTAAAACTTAAGCTGTCACCCACGACGTCGGTCGCGTCCCTGCCCGTCGTTCTTGCAAGTTAATATTAAAAGGTAGACATATAACGTCGTGGATTTTTTTTTAGACCATTTAAGGAGGAATCATTCCGTTGCACATATTTTTTGGGTATGTTGATCCGTTTTTGCAGCGTACGCCTAGGAAACCTATGATGATGAATAATTTTCCCAAAATTTTGCACATTTCCCGCTGCATCTTCGCATGTATTAGTCTCAGGTTTTATAGCCTACTAGCTGCCCGCGACTTCGTCCGCGTGAAATAGTGAATTGGGATAGAATTTTTAATTATTGAGGCTGTTTATTAATGTATGAAGGCAGCCAATCTATGGTAAATGCTACTTTGCCGCAACACTCTCACCTCACATCACTTCTACTCCCACTCCTATTTCCAAAAAGCCAAAGAAGAAAGTTTCATTGTTCTAGCTTCAAAAACCACGAATTTCTATACAAACCTTCATCCCCCTTTTGGCAATAAAAAGCCTATGTCCTTTCTCAGGGTCTAGACCATCTGTATAGCAAATTTCATTTAAATCCGTTCAGTAGTTTTGGCGTGAAAGAGTAATAGACAGACAGAGTTATTTATAATATTAGTAAGGATAGCCTTCCTCGATAAATGCTGTAACCAACACAAAAATAAATGTCAATTCGAAAGCGTAGTTTCTGAGATTAGCGCGTTCAAACAAACTCTTCAGCTTTATATATTAGTATAGATAGATAGATAATAATTATAGACATTTAAGAAAAACACATATTTTTTTTTCAATTATTTCTTATCTTCAGCAAAAAAAACATTTTTGTGTAGTAGAAACAAATTCCCTAACGCAAAGCATATGAAATAGTGATGCCTAGATAACTGCTATTGGACGTGAAAATTTAAATCGGCATGACAAAGTCGGAATTTGAATAATGAATTAAGCCAGAATTACCAGTTAGCTTTGCTAACCCGCAATTTACGGGCGAAACTAAATTATATTTTAGCTCATGACTAAGTATTTATCATCTATTAAAAAGTATGTTTGATTTTATTTGTTTAGCGAAAAAAGGAGGTAGGTACTTCGGCCATAAAGATTGAGAATGTTGACAAGTCATAATTCCCTTATACGTTGATGTCAATGTTATTACATATATAATACACCTATTGTTATGGTTAATTCATTATTTTGAATATTTCTATGCACATAAGTATTGGTGTTACTTATTAAATTAGGTACTACGTGCTTTCAGATCCCAAAGATAATCGTCGAAGAAGTGGAGCTATGCAACAACTTAATGAACTACAAGCCAGGCGAACTTCTGCGCATTATATCCAAACTAGCGAAAGCCATCGCAGACCAATCCTTCATAGATCAAGTGCTCGAAATCAACGAGGAGATTTGCCGCCTCTGTCTCTGACGACAACAAAATGTCGGCGAACACAAAATGGCCGACATTAAATAAATTATTTCTTTATTTACCTAATTATGGGAAATTTATCGCTACCTATTATATTTTTATAGTAAATAATGAACTATGTAACGTTACATTTTTTGGTTAATGGGTTATTTAAAATTTTAGTAGACTAGGCACTTACTTATTGATTTAATGGCATTATTTCGTTAATATATTATCCACAGGACTAAGTTTTGTTTTATTTCGATGGTTTATTAAAGTATATAACCCTTAAAAAGTAAAATAAGGTACCCTAAACTAAAATGATAAGGTTTCCAGCATCGCAGCACAGAGCGAAAGTAAATTGTTTACTTTATAGTTAAAACAAAGTATCTTGGTAATGTAAAGAAATTAAGATATGGTGTTGATATTTCACTTTGAAGAACTAATTCACGTGTCAGAAAACATGCCTGTGTAATCTAACAGCAATAATAATCTCAACTGATTATTACTATTCAAAGATAACGAAGTGATAACGGAATAAATTATGATTATCATCCTGTTACAAGACAAAGCCGTGTGGTATTGGAATTACGTAAAAAAGCATAGTTTTTGTACAATTAAACCTCGCTGTATACAGGTAAAATAAAAGGAATTGCATATGTTTACTTATTTATTACTATAGATCACACGAACGACAATTGGTTCTTTATACTAACATCGATATTACATTATTAGCCAATTAGCATTAAACTAGTAAAATATGCAGGTCGAAACCTACAATTTTAAGAAAAAAAATGTTAGTATAAATAAAGCCCATCAATTTTTTAGAAAGTCACATATGTAACTACGCATTAAAAACTAGGAATGAGTAATGACTACAATATTTCAAATTTATATGTCTGTCTACTGATAATACGGATCAACTAAACTAACTTTATGACAGTTGTCACGAAAGACATATCAAATATAATGCCCAATAACTATGACGTCATTACCATTCTTATTTTTAACATCTGTACGTCATCATCGACGAAGTGTCAGATACATTTAAACGAGAAGCGTCCAGCACCCATTTTGTGCCATTTATTAAAAAAAAAACTAGTCACTACAATTGTCTATAAATAAAATACAGTTATTGTTCCGCTAAACACTATATGTATACTTAAACATTAGTTATCACTAAGGGGAATAGACTGAGTTATATTATGATGAAGCCAAGACATAAAGACTGAAAGCGGAATTTAAAGATCTTTAACTGTCATTTATAGGCGGTTGTCAAGACTATGCAATCTTTGAAGATTCAGCCCATTCCGTAATAAAATTGAGACTCTATTTATGAGGGAACACTAGCCGCCAAACTACATCTAGTTTAAAATTATCGCCTCTGTACCTTTTTTCGATAGCTGAACAATTATAAACAAACCCTATGTCAGATATTATGTAAGCTATGTTTAAAACAAAAATTAAAATGTCATAAACATTATACTATACTTTGATAATTTCTTCGAACTAAGGCCATTAATACAACTTTATTTCTGTTCAATTTTTTTTTAAATTAAAGTTTAGCTATCAGTAAAAATTACCTTATGAATCACTTATCAATACATCATAATAATCTAATAAGCTATCGTGAAGTGCCAGCAGTTCCGAAACAAAACATGAATTAATTTAAAGAAATTAATCTAAATAGCCTAGTGATGGCAACACTTTGTAGCTATTTGATGTCCTAGATCTATTTAATTTTAGAGAGATAAGGAGCCGCCATTCGAACCTAATACACGTTCAATTTCCATAAATGTAAAATTTTAATGAATAACAAAGCGTTGAACCAAAGTACGAAATGAATAAAACATTCCGTCAAGATATAAATTTAAAATTGTGTCAAGATATTAGTTAAACATTCTGTCGAGAAACGAATTATTAGTTACGAAGGTCGAGCGACTGTCAAATGTACCAAAATGAGATAAGTGTCAATGCATTAACAAGGCCGAGGGTCGGGTGCGTCGCAGTCACAATCTAGTCCTGAGTATGTCTGTGCGAGTGGCTCTTGTGGTGTTTCTGTCTGTGCCTTTGTGGGTGGGAGCCGCCGTATACCTCGCGAACGGACCTATAAGACACGTCAAGAAATTAAAAAAACCATTCAATTAAACCCAAACGTGTGGCAACACTAATATGTTATTGTTAAGAAACGCTTTTTTAGCCAATGGACTTGGTTCCAAGTCATTTAAATTAATATAAAAAAAACTTGTCTATTTTGTCGTAATAGTAATTTAAAAAAAAACAAAATTTTAATCAATTCGCTTAATTTGTACCTGAAGCATCAATCAATGCAATACAACAGTCGTTATACAGAAATATTCTCCATATATACTCAAATTACTTTTAACACTAAAACTCGTAACCACTATAGTATTTTTTTTTAAAACAAGCTATTTCATGCAATAACACCTAAAGCTCAAATATATAAAATCCATAGCAAACGTATATACAGCTTGTATATATAAATAAATATGATTACGATTAGTAGTAACGCCTCCTGCAATATCTGGATCTGGAAACGATGACTTACGTTAACCGATAGTATGGCTTCCATACTATAAACTATATGTTATTTTTTACGACTAATTATGCATACATACATTCATATAACAAAAATAACTGTACTGTGTAATTACGTGAATCTACTTCAACAAAATAGTGTGAAACAAACTGTGTTAATAAATTATTCTACCTAGTTATTTAATCTTTCATACTAATTAAAAACATCCGATTCTAAGGCATAGTATAAGTAGCGGCACGGATCTTTAGCGCTGAACGAATCCTGCGCAGAATTCAAAAATAAGGTATCGAAAGGACGAAAGCGGGCGCTTAGTGTGGGAACGTGTGCCCTAGCGTTGATTGGTTTCCCTGTCGTGTTGTCTCTCTCGGACCAATACGACGCTCCGCTTGCTTCTCGAGTATAGTTACACTTTCGAATCAATTACGAGCGCGATTATGAAGATGCGCAACTCCCCCCCCCCCTCTACATTTCGTTCAGCGCTAAACATCTGTACCGCGACCTTACCGTACCTTATGACCCAGATGTTATTTTTAAGACAATTAAATATTCAATATAATGTGAATGTGAAGTGAATGTCAACTACCCGCAAAAATACATTACCTCGAAGGTAGAGTAAGGGGACTAGAGGAGGTCCTAAGTGGTCGTCTGGCTGAAGGTCTGCTCTGGCGACGAACGTGGGACGTCTCGCTGCAAGACACTAACTACTTAGCACTACGCTATGCTACCAGAGAGGTGGGTGGATAGAAAATATCTATCAAACAAGTGCTTTAGTCATGCAGATAAGAAAAACAATAATGGTAAATATATAATCCAATATTTTATATTCATATTTCCGATATGTGAAAGTTTACTTCTACCCATCTCTATATAACATAAAATGGCATAAAAAGCAAAGATACTATCATGCTAGCAAAACAGTACCCAAAGTGAAAAGTATAATTTTTTTATGTTTCTAATACTTGTAGAAGTCGAAAATGGCTAAAATAGGTTTAGTTTCTTTGAAGATATTTCAAGTGATGCCCAGTTCAGATGCTAAAAGTAATGTAAGTTATTGTTATCTTTCATAAAATTAACTAGTGCCTCTATCCGAATTTTCCATCAGCGTAAAGTCGATTGCCTAGTCTTCTCGTTTTCAAATAGAACCAATAGTTTCCATGATTACCTAGTACAAACAAATTTTCACCTATATAATAGGAAACAAAACCTATTTTAGATTTCTTGTTTTAATACGTAGTTATATAAGGCCTTCTTCTTTAAATAATGATATTATATTTAATATGAACTCACGCGTTTGGGGACACGGTGGGCGGAGCAGGAAGTGCGAGACGCTGTTCGTGACGCGGCGCGGGAGCAATGGCTCGGTGGGCTCGGGACGCTTGTGACATACTGGAACGTTGTTGAAACTCCCTGAAACATGCGAAGACCGTAAAAGTTACCTTCATACTTACTTTTTCGATTTGAAGTCAATCACTACATATTATTATAGTCATTGTTTGTCATTCTTATTGCTAGTTTAATGTTATTTGCAAAATAAGAAAATGTTGAGCGCTGCATGTAAAGTAACATTTTATAGAAAAACTAATTTTTTGAATAGACCCGAAATTGTATTAGAATTGTTTAAAAACTTTATTACTTTTACGTTTTTGCTGGATTCAAATCAATTTGAAATGAAAACCACTAGATCAAAAAAATATCCAACCAATTGACCTACCGCATCGCTCGCGTTAGTATTGCAATATTCGCCTGACAGAAATTAGGCAATATTATTTCCTTTGTTATATCTACCTGTCAAAATCCTCGGCTTCTTCTTCATCGAGATTGATGAACTCCTGCCTTTCCTCTGCATCTCCAGAATACACGTTCTGTTCTCGCTCTATTACATGAGCTCTTTCGCCGATGTGGTGTCCTGAGAAATACACTATTATTATCACTATCCATCATTATTAACTGTCCAACGATCCACAGGATAGAGTTAAATTTAGTCATATGTTAATTTATTTAAAATAAATTCTACATAAAAAAAAATTATGATAAATAAAGACTAAACAAGTCCTCTATTATATGATTCATTAGCAGCTTAGTTATGACAAACAACTAAGCAAATATCACACCATCTAACCGCAGTGCCAAAAATATACATCCTGAGATAATACTGGTAACATTGTGTTAAATGTAATGAATTTTTTTACATATATTTTGTTTTTATCATATTTGGTGTAAACAGCTTTAACTGCATTAATTCAAATTCTTAATATACAATATATTTGTAATAAGCAAGAAATATTAATAACAAAGGGCCTTTCTGATGGAGCTGATCTGGAGAGAGAAAGGAGGGCTATGGCAGTGATGGATAACATGTTGGCCCGGAGGTTTGCACGAAGCTCACACGATGTCTTAATCGTCTTATTTAAGGCTTACTGCCAATCATTCTACTCGTGTAGCTTATGGGCCTCCTTTACTCAAAAAGCATTGAATGCTATTCATGTGCAATACAACAATGTTTTCAGGTTGTTATTGGGCTTGCCAAGATAATGTAGTGCGTCGGGCATGTTTGCGGATGGATACACGCACGGATGGTTCCACGCCATCATCCGCAAGCGTGTAGCTTCCTGTATCGAGTTCGACAAAGTACCAATGGCATTCTGGGGGCATTGCGTGAAAAGTATACGGTGCTGCTAAAACGATTGAGTAATGTTCATGCTCCCCCTTAACGCCTAGCACCTACTGTGTATATTTCATTTTGTCTACTTAATTTTAGTGACTAACACATTTTAATATTATACATTTTAAGTTAAAAATTGTTACTAACCCAAGTAACACACATTAGATTAACTAATTTTAAGAAATGTATGGATTTATGCTCTGACAAATAAATTATTATTATTGATTATTATTTTTTATACAAGGTGCCATAAGTAATAATATAATTTCAATATAAAAAAGGAAGATTTAGTTAAAAGAAGAATTTTTTCCTACAAATAAATAGTCTAATATATAAAATTCTTGTGTCACAGTTTTCGTTGCCATACTCCTCTGAAACGGCTTGATCGATTTTGATGATTTTTTTTGTGCTTATCCGGTATCTATGAGAATCGGCCAACATCTATTTTTCATCCCCCTAAATTTTAGGGGGATGAAAACTTTTAATTTTGTATTTGTATATTAAATGTATTTTTTTATGATACAACATACAAAAATACATACAATCCTCAATTTTCACCCTTCTATGATCAACCCTTATTATTTATATTTTAGTAAAATTATTTATATGCCAAAACAACGTTTGCCAGGTCAGCTAGTTGCTATATAAAATTATGTCCTCAATTGCACCATTCCACTGAAAGTAGTTGGTGGCCGCCTCTGTAGTTAAAAATTCTCACATCTGTTGCCCAGAGAGGGTCAAATCCCAGGAAAATGAGAAATTGGTTTGTTCAGACAAGTAAGAGAATTGTAAATAATTAAATTTTGAGGTAATACTTAGATTTATCAATAACAAATGGCACAATTTACCGATAGACATCTTTTTGACACCAGTGCGTGAGTCTTGTAAAGTTTCGCGAGTTTCCTTAACCCCGTTGGGACCAATCTTAGTACTGCTGGATGAACTGTATACCTAGAAAAAAATATTTAAATTATATAGATATAAAAATGAATTATTCCATAAAACTAGAAGACACAATACTCTATGTAAATGGGACAAGCCACATAAGTTTATGTAAGCATTGATAGAAATGTTTTGATTGTATGACATGTATTAGGAGCGAGGCTGTTCCAACACAAGTTAGTAATAAACTTTCTTGAATAGCCTCAATACTATTTGTAATTTAATTATTAAAAGAGAGACAATAAACATATTTTATTTTTGTATTGATATTGATATGTAAATTGTTCAGTAAACTACAAACAGTAAAAGTGAAATATAAATAAAAAATAAAAGAATTGAGACTATGTTCAATGCATAGTGCAAATAGCACCTTTGCAAAAGTCTGCAAGGTTCTGCAATTATTATCCCATAATATCAACTTATATATTTTACTGGTAACACATAATATTATAATCTTTACGGGTGATATAGAAGAGATCTCTTTTACAATAGTAAATGTAATTAAAATATTGATACTACATGATTTAACATTACCTGAGGTTTTCCGTTTGGCCCGCTAGACATATACACAGTGCTGCTACTGAAAGAGGTGCCTGGACCCATTCTACTGTTTGTAAGATCACCTGTAAGATATACATTTGCTTATAATCACGATGAATTACAGGAAAAGAGGTTCTCGACGTTTCGCCATCACATACGCACGACATCATCAAGAGATGTTAACTCCTCGATTACTCGAGACGTCGAGAACCTCTTCTCGCTCACGTCAGCCAAACAGCCCGAACGACATTAATTTGCTGAATGTTGGCCGTGAAAGCCTTACACAATTTATTTTACTTTGAAATGTATTTCAAATTAAAAAAATTCATATGACTTACAAAATGAACACATGGTGAGACCAAGTGCCACATGATATAGTAGTAGATAGAAAGCATTTATATAATACCTGAAAACATCAAACTATTCAGTGATGGCATCTGAGGCATGAAGGGCATCAAAGAACTTCCATGTCTGGGACCCATGATTGAGAGTGGGCCATCACCCATCATCCCAAAAGGGTCGGAGAACATAGAGTTCATCATATGGCTCATTTGACGCATATGGCGCATGTGAGATCTGAAATTTATTTTTAAACTTTTATTTCTACTTTAGTTCCATGTTAAGCAACTAGTTTCACTTATGAACTAATGACGGTGATAGTAGCAGGGTTCTTAACTCCTACCATTAATTTTACAACATAATACATAATTTTGTTAAAAAGTAATTTATATAACCTTGTATAGGATTAAATTGTAGGTGTTATCACAATAGATAAATGTGGGTAGAGATTATTAACAATTAAATACTTATATCTATCTATCGTTTGCAAAAGAGAACATTCCACACAGGCCCTTAAGAAACAGTCTTTGGTATGTACTTGTTACTTTGATCTGCTTTAATACTGCTTGACTAAACTAATACCTTGAGGCAAATATACAATGTCTTAGTGAGTTACTATATTGTGAAAACTATTGCTTAATGTACGTTTTGTCAGAACTTGTGAAGTAATAAAAATTTCGATTTCGTATGAATAGGATTTCTGAGAAATAATGTTTCGTCTCTTCTACGTTCAAAATAAAAGACGATCGAAAAACAACCGAACTCACCCAAAAAATGGATCGTCCTCCACGTCGCCCATGAGAGAACCGAAAAGAGACATTGTTTTGCTCTAATTCAAAGCAATATGCGTTTAAGAGTGACTAAAATTTTATTAAATTGTATGTAACGAGACTTTTGAACACGTTGCGCAATAGAGAAGAGAGGTAGCAGCGCCGGTTAAATAGCGTTGGAAAAATAGAAACCTCTAGCAAAATTTCACGCACATTCACAGACGAATTTTGACAAAAGATGACAATTAACACATGATTCTGACAGTAATACACAGATTACTATATATTTTTAACACAGATCTCTAAAGAAGAAGCAGCCAACTAACAAAGATAATAAAGACGTGTTGTCTTTGCCAAAAAAACCTTAGGAAATTCTGACGTTTGGATATTCAATTAGATATTGCTCTTTTAATAATTTGGATATCTCACAGTAAATATTAAAAAAGAGATCGCCTCGTCCATCACCGATCGTCAAGGTACACGGAGAAGTTTAATCCTTATCTGGTTGATATACTAAAGGTCCAGGCGGGCCGCTTTTCTTATATTCGTATAAAGGCTTTTAGTATGTTCGCGTGATTACACAACTTAGCTAACCATCAAGCGGGATAGTGGACAACGTAAAAAAAAACATTGACCACTAAATAGTATATCATTTATCATTAAATATAATACAACGTTTACAGATTTTACACAACAAAATACGCTCAACTTGACAAACGATTTACAGCTCTCTTGATACTTAACATCTTTATAATAGCATGGTAAACGATTAAATGTTAGTATCTGTAGTATCTTCGCTCTCGACGTGCCTGATAGCTTCTCATTTGCTGACCATCACCGTGAAAAGTCCAAGCAGCTGATGTAGGATATGACGTATAAATCATATCCTGTAATCCATTTCTGAACTTCCGATTGTTTGATGGCATATCCTTTAAAAAAATGACAATTTTTTAAAGTGTAAACTTTACGTAAAAGAACATGAAATTACGAAACGTTTAAAGTATTGTACCTTTTCGGGTTTTAAGTCGACTTCCGTATTTTTTTGTATTGGAACATCACCGATACGATCGTATTTGGCGTATTCCGTGTTCTTCGCTAGTAGTTCATTGGGTTGTCTATTATGGGTTGAATCACCACCGACTTTCTCGACAGGAATAGAATCCTGATGTAGTTTATCTAGACCAATGTTGAAACGTCTTTCAGAATGTGTGAGAGCTTCAACTGGCTGCTTCACACTCTGTTGAGTGAACGACTGTGATCCCTTATATTGGTTATATATTTGCTGAAGTTGACTTCTGCTAGGCACTTTATCTGTAGGCTTGTCACTCATCAGTGCAGTTTTACTTTCGGTCTGCTTAACATTTGCGTATTTACCTTGCTGCAGCGACGTTTGGGGAGACAATGTTTGGGGAAGAGCAGGTAGTGTCTGGTGATACATATTTGCAGGCAGTTTCTCAACAGGCTGACCCAGAGTATTAAAGTGAGCAGGTTCTGGGTATTTCTTACCATGGAGATTGTGGTATATTTTTTGCTTTGTCGTATCTACTGGGAATATTGGTTCTTTTATAATACCTTGAGAAGAAATTTGTTGAGAATGTTGAGGTAATTCGGCCTGCTGTTGCAGTGGTATGGAGTGAGACATTGGCAATTCTTCACGTAGGTGTGAAAGATTCGGTGAATTCAGTGAAGACGTTGGAGCACCCGTGTTTGGATCTGACATTTGATAAACCTGTTGACTCGACAATATATTTGGATTGTTCGCAGCTTGATTTACAGTTGCATTATATACTTGCTGGTTTTGCTCTTTTATTGGTGTATTTAGTTGTTGTTGTGTACTTTGATTGGGACGAGTCATATTATAAACAGGATCACGTATTGTGTTATCCGACGTAGTCTGATTAGGAGATATCATCTGACTTATTGGCACCATATTTTGGACAGTATTAGCATTTTGTGCTGGCTGTGCTGGCGTCGAGGGTTCAAGTATCTTTGATATATTTTGGTTAGTATTCATCATCTTCTGCATTGTATCCATTGCTACTTGTTGTTGATTAGCAGGATTCATTTGAATAGCTATTGCCATGGGGTCGAAACCTAAGTCCCCACCTAAGCCCTGTATTACACCAGGAAACATTTCATTAAACTTTTTCATTCCCTGTGAATGTTGCCCATACGAAGGTTGCTGCGTCATTGATGTTTGTTGTATTGGATTCGGTTGTTGCCCCGGCTGTTGCGCATTTGGCATCGTATTAGAGAAATTTGCTGAATATAATTGTTGTTGTTGGGGTGAATTGTTACTTCTGTTTTCAGTATATTGGGGAATTGAGTGATTGCCATTAAAGTTAGGATTCATTTGCGCGGTTGTAGGCTCGACTCCAATTTGGCCATATGATGGTGGGGCATCTACAACCATGGGTCCTGTAAGTTGGTTGGCTGGTTGTTGTTTAACTATAGATTCCCCTTTTATCATGTTCATAATTTGAGGTCCCATTCCGCTTAAGTTCTGTTGGCCTTGAGCCATTTCTGGACCCTTCGGCATTAGCATCATTTGAGAGTTCGATCCTAGTTGGTTCCCGGGATTAAAATGTATGTTTGGGCTATTTTGGGTAATATTTGAAGTTTGCCCTTGTGCTGTTAAGCCCATTTTATTACCCATTTCGTTGTTCATTATCGTATTTGCGGGATTAATTGTGCTAAGATCATTATAGACTTCTTTTACCACAGGCTGCATAAGGTTTTCATTTAAAAAATTGTACGTGTCAGCGTAAAGCTTAGGGGCGTTACACTGTCCCATGCAAGTATATAGACGTTGGGGTGGTTGTGAAGGCATTGAATACGGCTCTCCACAACAAAGGGTTATGATTGTGGCATCCATGACCATGGCATGGTGAAGCATGGAAACCATGTGCGTAGCCATATTGCGGATAACAATTGGACATCGAATTCATACTTTGCGGAGGGCTTTCAAAAAGCTTACCCATACAACCACTGAAAATAAAATAAAAACATATCTATCCTCTACAAAGAAGAGAACTAATGAAAAATGATTAGGTACTAAAGCTTCGTAGATGAGAAATAAATGTATTTACCAATCTGCACTTTGTAACTGATTCACTACACTCCCCAACTCGCTTAGTATCCTTTGTTTGTTAAGAGACATTGCAACTCTTCGTAAAACTTAAAATTTTGTCTACTACAATTTTGAATAAGAAATTTTATTATGTGGTATAAGTACCGAGTCTTGGTCCCTAAATGAAAATTACCAAAAAGAGCTTTTGTTTTTAAATGACAAGTTTTTCATATTTTAATTGGTGTTTAAATATTATGTGCCATTCCTAAAGTAATTTATTTTGTTGGGCAACAATATATATAAAACTTAAAATTAATTATATAAAAATGTTTTTAGAGTTACATTTTAGTAATTAATAAAATATGCTTGTAAAAATTTACATTTTAGATATGAAGTCCGTTTTTTTTCAAATTGATTATGTAGCATCCAGGTAACATCTGTGGACATATATTCTAGAGTATCTGTGTATTTGAGAAGCCACGTAAGTTTAACGTCTACGTCATTTCACTGACAGCTCACTTATATCTAAAATTGACTTCGGACTTAGACCGTAGAATTGCAATAATATTATTTCTTAGTTAGTTACATTTTGTTACCGTCTCTGTAATTGTGATATCGTGTGTGTCGTACGCCAACAGAGTATTTCTCGTTTTATTGCGCATTTTTATCATTCGTTTATCATTTCACATTAACAACATTTATCGGTGAAATCCTGTTTGTTGAGTCGTGATAACATTCTTCGCATAATCGTTATATATTCGGTGTGAATAACTTCGCAATAAGCAGGGGTCATCGCAGTTCAACGTTGAGTAACCGAGGTAATTATAAATACCAAAAATGGGTAAAAAAGTATTCGTAGTTGGTGTTGGAATGACAAAATTTGTAAAGCCTAGTCCTGATAAAGATTACCCAGACCTAGGCAAGGAGGCCGTATTAGACGCCTTAGCCGACGCCCGAGTTAAGTACGAGGATGTACAACAGGCGGTGTGCGGCTACGTCTTCGGCGATTCGACTTGCGGTCAGCGCGTTTTATACCAAATAGGTATGACTGGTATACCTATTTACAACGTGAATAACAACTGTTCCACCGGTTCTAATGCGCTCTTCCTCGCCAAACAACTTGTTGAGGGCGGTCTTTCGGATATCGTCCTTGCAGTTGGCTTTGAAAAAATGGCACCTGGTGCTCTAGGAAGCGGTGCTTACACTGACAGGACAAACCCTTTAGATAGACACACACTAAAGATGGCAGAGATCACAGACCTAACTGGGGCACCAATGACTGCACAATACTTTGGCAATGCTGGTATGGAACACATGAAGAAATATGGCACAACAGAAGTACATGTTGCAAAAATCGCGGCAAAAAATCACCGCCATGGAGCAAAGAACCCACGTGCCCAGGGTAATCGGGAATACACAGTTGAGGAAGTATTGAAATCACGTAAAATTTATGGTCCCCTCACTAAGCTGGCCTGCTGTCCAACCAGTGACGGCGCAGGTGCTGCTGTCCTTATGTCAGAAGAGGCTGTAGTAAGGTATGGTCTGCAGAACAAAGCAGTAGAAATTATTGGAATGGAGATGGCAACAGATACAGAAGCAGTATTTAAAGAAAACAGCTTGATGAAAGTGGCTGGAACAGACATGACAGCACTTGCAGCAAAACGCATTTACTCAAAGACTGGAATATCGCCAATGCAAGTGGATGTAGTAGAATTGCATGATTGTTTTGCCACTAATGAAATGATCACATACGAAGGTCTGCAATTGTGTGGAGTGGGTGAAGCGGGCAAGTTTATTGATGCTGGAGATAACACATATGGTGGACGAGTGGTAGTTAATCCTAGTGGAGGTTTGATAGCTAAGGGGCATCCTTTAGGAGCAACAGGCTTGGCCCAATGTGCAGAGTTAGTGTGGCAACTCCGAGGTGAAGCTGGAGATAGACAGGTTTGTTTCTTTATCAATGGTTGATGGCTGTGGGAGGTACATCAGAATGGTTTAAAGTTCAACCTGCTGAGAATGTAGTGGCAGATGCAAATGTGTTTTTTATGCTTATTGAATACTTTTTGTATTATTGTTTGTCATTTGTATTTTAAGGGGGTATATTTTAAAATATTGTTATTGTGTTGTGATGTTCATTTTTGTTACCTTTGCTAGTATTTATGAAATCTGGGGTTAACAAATTTTTTTCGTGTGTGATAAGTGTACAATAGCAATTCTGTTAAGTACACATTAGTTGTTTCCAAATAGTTCAAAACATACTCAGTGTGTCCATATGTATATACATTACACATTGGTATTTTGTTATCATACCTAAAAGTCTTTCAGTTCGTTCTTCCAGTATTGTTATGAAACAATTTCTAATATTATAAGTAGCAAATTAAAGCAAATTTTTGGTACAAGCACGCATCAATTCTAAAACTATATTTACCCTGTTTTGGTATCTTAATAAATTTTTTGTTTCATATAATGCATAATATTTGCTGTAATGGCAATCTTATTCAAATTAGTTGGTACAAAAATATATGCTATAATTACATGAGACTGAGACTTGTACTTCTTATTGATTTGGCTCCAAGAAGTGGAATTTTACACATTCCACATTTATGATCAGTTCTGAGTCCTTGTCAGTATAAGTCCTTTCATTTTCTGTACAGGTACCCCGCGCTCGTATCGCCCTCCAGCACAACTTAGGTCTCGGTGGAGCTGTCGTACTCACGATGTACCGCAAAGGATTCCAAAATGCTACCCCCAACCAGGTCGCGGCTGCTGGCAACCCCGAGGAGTTCAAAGTGTACAAATACATGAAGATCCTCGAAGAAGCTATGCAGACGGATGAGGAGAAACTCATAGAAAAGGTCAGAGGCATCTACGGATTTAAGGTCAAGGGTCCGGGAGGTGCGGAGGGCTACTGGGTCATAAACGCGAAAGAGGGCAAGGGGAAAGTGACGTACAACGGATCGGAGAAATGTGATGTTACTTTCACAATAAACGACAATGACGTCGTCGATTTGATCTCTGGCAAACTGAACCCGCAGAAGGCTTTCTTCCAGGGTAAGATCAAGATCCAAGGAAACATGGGTCTCGCAATGAAACTGACGGACCTCCAGCGCACGGCGGCCGGCAGGATCGACGCGATTCGGTCCAAGTTGTAAATAACCATTCGAACCGGTTCCAACCGGCAATTACCACAAATATCTGGGTTACGGTGCGGGCACAGGGCATTTATCTGTAAATATTAACGTTTCCATACGCAAATCTGTCTCAAACAAAAAAGATTTATAAAAATCTTTTCGAGAGAGCTAGTGGTAGTGCAATAGTATCTACGTTTTAATGTTTTAAGAATAATTAAAATTTATTAAATCATTCCATTTTTCACAAAATGGTATAATGGTATTGTTGATATTTTTATGTATTAAATTTTTATACGAAGCCCGTTTTTTTATTTCTCTTAAAAAAAATCATTTACATAGTGTTCATGTATAGCAGTGATGACGCAATGTTCGAGGGCAAAGATCGTAAACGACTTTGCAATAATCACAAGCAAGTGTTACACACATTTTGTTGTAGAAAACCGTGCTGTAATATTTTGTTATACCACTTTGTTATTTACTGCGCTATAAATATAAATGACAATAAAATAGAGCGGTATATACATATATTAAATGTATAAATGTTTCGTGCTACGTAGTTATTCAAAGAACCTAATGAAATTACTTAATTCAAGTGTTGTACGACTGGATTGTATAAAAAGCAAAAGATGTGGTCATTATTTTATTTGGGACAAGTGATCAGTCCGTATATACTATTGCTTCATCCATTTCTTCGCTCTGCCTATAAGAAATATAGTTACAAACCAAGACAAGTAGTTGTTTATAGCGAAACTATTAATGTAATTTTCATGTTTATAATTACGCATTTAAGCGCAGAGGTCACGACGTTAGATTTGAATATTGAGGGCATTGAGATAGAACATGCAGACATGAAATGTCTTTGACTGAACAATACCAATACTTAACCAGTTTTTATTCCTTGAATGTTGAGACAATGGGACGTTATTTTAAAAAAAAAATATTTTACTGCAACAGACTTGAGCGCTGGTTTTATATTTCCAAGCTAACATTTGGTTATTCAATTATTCCTTAACCTTACTGATTTGGTAAAGGATGTATTCATCTTAGTTTCTTTAATATCTAGTTTAAAACAGTATGGTAAAGCCAGCATCTTACCGCAAAAGGGGAAATAAATAAGGAAGGAAGGATAATCAGTTAGTGCTTATGTGGCGCAAAGGTGACGTTGACAACCATAGAATAGTACAGTAAAAGGAAACTAAATAATTAATTTTATCTCATACTATTTAATACGCAAACTACTTGGTATACCACTGACCTTATACGCTTTCGCGTGGCTCCCTAAATACATCAATGTATACGCCGAAGTATATCGGTATAAGAATTATTAAAACTATCAATATACTAAATGATGGTTACCTTAAGTATATGACTAAGACTTACCTAATTAAGAATTTATTTTTAATTTACATGGTCTGTAATTTTTTGTAAATAGTTATTATCTTAGCTAATCTTTGTGTAAAATTTGAGTAATTTTAAGTAAAAATTAAAGAAAGTAGCAAAATTTCTTTTTTCCACATACAAGAGATTCCTAGAGCATAAGTGAAATCATAAGTTAGTAACAATTATCCCACCAGTGGGGAGCGCAAGACCAAGACCAAGACCAAGACCAGGTGTATTGGCGCAAGACCAAGACCAACGACTGGCAAGTATCGTCTTGTTCTTGCGTTGGGGCAACACAACAGTAAATGTACCTTGATGAAAATTTGCTCTGTAAAATATTGTTGATTCCACAGACGCCAAATAAAAAGGTATAATATTCAGGAAAAAGGACATGACACTAGCCTACGACATTTGTTAAGAAAAACAACCTTGGACTTTTACAGTTCGATAACAAAGATAATACAGATAAACGTAGTGATGACCGTATTATTAAATTTGCATGTAAAAATTTATAATTGTTTATTAACATTTTACCTCACCTTAGAAAATAATGCAATAAAGTAATTGTTATCAATTATTATTATTGCGTGCGTCAATTGTTCATAGAAATTATCAGTATTTTCTTGTCAAATACTTTTATATATCTGAGTGCTTGGTAACTAACTCAATTTGCTAATAGGCATGTTGTCTAGGGTAACGAAAAATAAATATATTTTATGTGTAGCTAGTAATTGTTTTATTATTTCAGTCGGGCAAGGCACTGAACTTTGATAAACCACTTGCCTGAAAATCATATTATTAAAAAAAATATCTTTTAACTTACCTAAAATTAGCTAGTTTTATATAGTTATTACTCGGGTAAAAATTAAGGGTATTGTCCATTTGAGACAATATTGTTATATGCTGAACTATGAGTATAATGCTTTCAATGACCTCCTAGCTGACGGTTTTTTCTAGATTTGAAAAGTAGTTGAAACTTGAAACAACATCAAATAATGATAAACTAGAAGAAAACCAATTCTGAAATACCTACTTTTCGAAACAGAAGTAATAAATTGATAAGACTTATATAATCTTATCATTATATCAAAAAATATTTACTATAAGACGTATATTGTTATGTTTATAATTATTTAGGCTGTTTATTAATTTATGTAATGTGCAATCTATGTTGTATGTGCTACTTTGCCCCAACACACTCACCTCGATCACTCCTACTTTAACTCCCACTCTCATTCCTACACTCACACTCCCACTCCCACTCCTATTCCCAAAAACCAAAGAAGAAAGTTTCAAAAACCACGAATTTCCATACAAACTTTCAAACTTTCATCCTCTTTTTCAACCCCTATGGGGTTTATAGGGGTTGAAAAAGAGGATGAAAGTTTGTATTTGGAATTAATAATATGCCAATGTCCTTTCTTAGGCTCTAAAATATCTATGTACCAAATTTCAATTAAATTAGTTCAGTACTTTCGGATTTAAAGCCGGACAGACAGACAGACAGAGTTACTTTCGTATTTATAATATTATTAAAATCTATAATTTATTAAAATAAAAATGTATAAATGGTATGGATAACATGGTTTGATTTTGTTCAGTATTTTTATCAATTAGTTAAAAGTAAAATAGTAGTTATAGTGACGTAACTACAATAGTAGACATATTATGGTCACGCAATGTTTTTTTGTAGATATTGATATATTCTATAATATTGTACAACATTTTTATGTCCTATCATTAATACTTTTCGCAGTGTATGCGACGAAAGACATTTTATGGCGAATTTTTTTACACCTCCCCGTTGCTTTAAATAGAAATTTCTAGAAGTGTCTATCGTAATATAATACTAAGTATATACTATGTTACTCAGGGATAATGTAGCTTTCTTATGAAAAAAGAATTATTAAAATCGGTCCAGTACTTTTTGAGTTTATCCGTTACATACAAAAATACAAATCATTCCTCTTTATAATAGTAGTGTAGAAAGCTGTTAACCATGATATTCGTATTCCGTCGTACGCGTCCCGTCGTTCGGGTCGTTCTTGCAAGTTAATCTTAAAAGATAGACATATAGCGTCGCGGACTTTTTTTTAGATCATTTAAAGGGGAATCATTCTTTCGTACACAATTTTTAGGTATCTTGAACCGTTTTCGCAGCGTACGCATCTGAGACCTACAGAGATGAAGAATTTTCCCCATTTTGTTCACATTTCTCGCTGTATCTTCGCTCCCATTAGTCACATCGCAATGTGTTATAGCCTCGATAATTGCTCTAACTAACCAAATATTTTTTTGAATTCGAACCCGTACTTCCTGAGATTAGCGCGTTCAAACAAACTCTTCAGCTTTATATATTAGTATAGATATAGGTACATACATTATTACAAATAAGGTAGGTATTTGTAAGATTAAATAATTATTTGGTAGACAATTGCTTGCATTATTGCCTTAACAAAGCAATTTACGTTTATTATCGTTTTTTCCCCTTGACAATGTTACAGTCTGACAGTTTGAAATACGACGATCTTTAGTGCTTACTTCTCGTAGAAGCGTCAAACCTCAACGTCACTATAATATAGACATTAACATCTATTTGTCTGTACGCGTATAGCTTTTGAACTGCAAAATTATTCAATCCGAAATCATGAAAACAGGAGAATTAAGAAGATAAATGTTGAAATTTAAAAAAAAGACCTACTTATAGATTATATTTTGAAGTCGAATACAAGTAGTAGATTTATTTAGATAGAATTATCAAAGTTTTTAAAATACTTTGATTTATTGGTTGATCAAGAAATATAAAACCAGTTATTATTGTTTGACTGAAGAAACGTTAGGTTAGATAAAAAAAGGCCGGTTTTAAATAGATTAATCACTGACTGACCGGGTATTTCAGGCTTATAATATTTATACGTACATATATGATGTATATTTTTGTTGTTTTTTTTTCATTAGTTAGTACAAAATGTTTAACTTCTTTGTAAATATAGTAAAGTACTCTCGACTCGCAGTTAACCAGAGTAAAAATCAAAGCCATCGATCCTTACAATCATAGTTGACATATAGTTGCGGTTGTCAAATAACAGACTACAGTGGAGACTGTAGAGATAGTGGGTCCAGGTGTAAACGAAGAACGATCATGCTGCTTCTGCTGTTAATATATTTTCAAAATGTTCAGCACGACTACAATTAAGAGATTACTAAATCTATAATGGTAATCATTTCCAAGGTTATCTAATTAGATAACCTTGGAATGGTTTTTTTTTGTTTTTAAATAATAACAAAAAAAATTCTTTAGAATGTCATATTTATTTATCTTATATTAATCAACTAATTAAGATTATTGGATGATTTTGCATTTAGAAATGTATAAATATAACGTAATTTCATAACTAAAACTAAACTTTTCTGGTTTTTTGATATGACATTTCATTAATTATTATTATCGCTCATTTCAAATAACCGGATAAAAAAGTAATAGATTTTACATTTAATAGAAAGGGTTTACCCTTGACTTATAGCTGTTTTATAATCGTCGTCTGACCCCAAGGACCTCGCAACGTTTACATATGTTTGAATATAAAATGTGTTTTATAATGAGCTATGCAATATTGGGTACCAGAATTACGAACGAACTG